CATTGGCTACTCGTATTCTTCATTTATTGGGTCGTGAAGGACCACGCACCACGACACCAGCTAAATATATTCGTTATATTTATAATCGTGTTATTCTTGGAAATGCACCTGTTCGAGCTGATAAAATCCTTTTTCAATTTACTTTTGTTTTTATCAGTAATTAAGTAATTACTTGTGCAGCTGCGGTGAGTGCATTGGCTAAGTTTGGTGCTGCCTCCGAAGAATTATTACCAAATATTTTGGTATTTTTACACAGAACAACACTCGATCAAGATGATGAAGTTCGTGATCGTGCTACTTTTTATTATCAATTATTAAAACATAGTGATAAGGCATTAAATTCAGCTTATATTCTCAATTGTAAGTGTCCTTTTTCGATTAAATTGGAAAAAAATAGAAATATTTAATATTTGATCTAGCAATGAATGTGTCGTTGTCAGCACTTGAACGTCTTTTACATCGTTATACAATGGAAGCAACAACTAAACCGTTTGATGTTAGATGTGTACCGATTGAAACAGTTCATGTAGAACAACCTAAAGCTTCTATGTTAAATTTCATTGTGTTTGTTTTCGTTTAACTTCTTTGTGATTTCTTTTTTTATACAGTCGATATCAGAATTGGTGTTAGCCTTCCACATGTAGGAACGTAGCTAAAACTAAACCGCGAGTTTCAGTTGCGTATTGAATAAAATAGTTTTTAGCTAGTTATGTTTGTCTTAGAGGCAGTTTCGATTTCGTTAGAATGGTTCCTGTTGGATGCAGTTTTATCATTAATTAAGTTATATTGACTTCTTTCAGTCACCATTGTTTAATGAATAAATGGAAATGAATGAGAATCTGTTGGACATGAAAGATCAAGAAAGAAAATGAGGATATACAGTCAAAATCGATGATATGTTCAATGAGATGTTTCGACGTGTTCCATGTCCAAAAACATATTTTGTTGACACCAATCATTGAGGGCTGATATGTGGTCACAAAAGGCTTTTCCTGCGCCAAATTTATCATAGCTAAAAAAATAATTTGTTTATTTATGATATTATTAGTCATTTGAACACTCACAAAACTATGAAATCGATATGGTTATTATACGTAATAGAATGAGTCAATTCGATTTTCACTATTGTGCCGAAGCCTTCAGCTAAATGGTGCAGTTTGCCTGATGCTATCCCAGGTCGAACAATCCGGTTTGGAAACGGCCGGTTCCGGGTACTTCCGTTGATTTTGTGGAAGCAGTATTCTGGTTGGAAATTTTTAGCATTCTTTCTGGTGATTTCCAATCAATTCCTGCCAGAAAGCACCGGAACTTGGCAGGAATTCTCCGGAAAAGTCCGGCCGTATTTTTGACCGGAATACTGCTTCCATGTTCCAGCGATTTCCCGTGTTTTCCTGCAGGATGTGGTGACTTTCCCGCATATTCCCTGGAGTATCCTACGGGATCCGGTGGCCGGAATGTTAGACCTGGGGCACTATAAAAAAAACATAGTAGTTGCAAAGTGATTTGGTTTTGAAGCGTTGCTCGATGATCCAAGCAAGACACTCCGAAATTAGGCTACAGAATTTATTACTTACGTTGCCAGTTGTGTCCATACGTGTTCATGAATTTGCCACGCATGAAACTACTCGACGACCGTTCTTGCTGGAAAAGAAAATGTATTAGAAGAGTCAATATATCTATGAACTAGTTACACATAACTCCACGAAAATAATTTATGATTCTGAATAGGATCCGAACGTTTCTGAAACAGATAGATGTACAGAATGCACTATTGCATTCGATAGACTAACACCATTATATGTATGGAGTTGGAGTTTTTCAGCATGAAACAAAGTATCATACGCCCAAACCTTGAAAAATCTGACAGCAATAATGAGTAGCAGAATTTAGTCGAAAGATCTCAATAGATATAGTTCATCAAGCTGACGTTTTTTTTCTTGTCGCTATATCTGTGATTATTGTCAAGTTTTTTTTGAAATGCTAGTTTTCGTAAAAACATTTTCTTTCAAATATGAATATTTAACTGAAACAATGTTTCACGAAAACACCTGCATATATATAGAAGTGTACTTCAGTTTAAATTGAAATACGCTCCGCACAATTACTAGATTTTGAAGTAATGTCAACGTAATTCACATCGCTTATAGTGTTTTTTACTGTACAAAATGTAGTTTGTTTCAAAGCACATTTTGCCAATCCGTTCTGAATGATTATATCAGATGAACGAATCTACCTTTGCCATGCTTTCGTTCTTGCACCAATCAATTCGTCGCATTCATAATCTGAAGAAGTGCCAGTTTCTACTATTCAATGTTTACTCTCATACTAATACATCGAACATCATGCATTATGAAAACTTGTATCTGCGACACGTAACGATAAAGTTTATTACTCATATTTGAGTCGGCATTCACAAGGAGATCAAGTAAAAATTTATGTTTTGACTTACCTCTTCTCTTACACACATTTGAAAAACAAATTTTACTAACATTGAACGAAGTATAATCGAATAATAATACGTACATTAGGTTGTGGTCCTAAAACTCCACCTCTTGTATAATAATAAGATCGTATCATTGTTCGATTATTATATGTTTGCGACGACTAAAACTAAATTAAAAAATGTGTTAAATATAATAGGTGACCATGTTTTTGAAATAATTATGAGTTCTTAGTTCTATGCAAGTCAGAGCTTCAAGATTATTTAGAGTAAGCTCTAACACATTGATGTGAATAGCATTCATTGATGCCAAATACATTTTTCATGATTGTTTGTACTCACGTACGTATTTTTCGTTCAGTACAGTTGTAGTGAATTTCACGATAAATTTCAAATTATACTACACTTCAGTTCTAACTGCTCTATATATATAGTAAAACTTGCATGTCTCTTTGATACTTTTTCGACAAGATTATGTTACAGCCTGCATTTTTACCCTATGTCCAAGACAACCCGAACTACAATTCCGTACAATAAAATGTTAACATACCATGAAACTTTCTTAACAAAGAGGACGGAAAATGTAACAGCGTACAACCAGTCATAAAAACTGTCGTTGAGCGTAACGAATGTTAGACAGACAGACGCCACAGAACTCCCTCTTTACAATATCAAAAGTAGAAGCTCGATACTTTTGACTGATCCAAAGGAAGTGGGAAGATGTCTACATCGATTTTACGCCGAAATGGATAATATTAGGGAAAACAATCTTCTTGGTAAGAAGCATTAGAATGAAATGGTCGAATTACATAAATAGAAGAAATGACTCGTCAGCAATGCCCAAACGTTTATTCGATATAGATATATCGATAGCAATATACTTTTTCTGTTCTTCTTTTCGTCAGCGTGACTAGCACACAGACGAAGAAAATAACAATACATGTCTGTGGCGTATAGAACTCGAATCCTTCACCACATAATAGAGCTACGTTGAACCCACAGAAGAATGTTAGCACTGGATCTGACTATACTTTTCTATTCATGCAAAAAAACAAACGAAAAAGATATAATATATACCCAGGGAAGAAAATGCGTGAGAGTTAGAATGAAAAAAAAGTCCATTTGACCCTAAAGACGTACGATGGAGTCACATCATGTGTAATAATGAAGATGATCGGGTGTTAACTCGATAACAGAGAAGTGAACTGTTGTCTTTGTCTCCTAACTTAATACGATCAGCGGTGATGAAGATCATCGAACAAAATGTATCATTAGTAAACCAGAAATTCAAAGTAAAATGCTCAATAAAAAGTGCCTACTTTTATCAACTTGTATCAACAGATAACAGAGCATAAGAAGCAATAATGCAGAATCGCTTCGTTTTTTTGTTGATACTTCGAATGTATCTTTACAATACTTGCTAAATAACGCTGACTAAGACTAAGAGAACGGCGTCTCTTTTTCAGTGTTAGTTGAATCTTTTTTCTGACTGACACAAAAATACAGACATTTTCTTGTATGGAAACGTCTTCAAACTTAATAAGACGTTTCAGTTCCATTTCTTTATTACTTTCCGGTAGCAAACAGATAGGAAGGAATCAGCGAATTATGCCTGTAGTATTTTTCAAAGTTTCTATGAAAACCGTTTTTGGAACACAATTTGCCTGTGCCGATAGAAACTGACGAGTTCCCATGTCAATGTACGGCAAGGAATCATTGTTTTATTATTTTCATTGCATAGTACTATTAACATTTAATAACTTATGGTCATGTTGATGATTATTCCTCTATTCACTTATTTTATAAACGTCTTGTATAGTCATTGTTCTCTGCTTTTTCCGTGTTCCGCTGATTCTTATATCTGGTGTCGTAAAATTTCGGACTTCGACGTCTTGCCGACTTAGCTTCTTCGATTAATCAAAGAGTTCTTAATCCAAAATTGAAGTGCAGAATTTTCCAATTTTTTACTTCACTAGCCTTTGAAGATACATACTTCAAAGAATTAAGGAATCCTCCATCCCATTATATTAACTTCATTTATGTAACTTCTGTCTAATTATGAAACATATCATCTTATTCTTTTTGAACTTCATCATACTATAAGCATGTAAAAAAAACCACAAAACCCAGCAAGTACGTCAGGGAGACAGATCAAGCTGAAAAGAAAGGATAACCAGCATAGACGAATTGAACAAACTTGAAGCCTTTCAAAAACAAACATCCTTAATTTCATTTCTCTTGTCACGTTAAAATTCTCCCATTCCAAGATAATTTCGATCAGATAGTTAATAAAACAAACTGCTTGTATTAAGTCGAGATTTTCACCTGATATTGCTCATTGAATAAACACAACCACTCAGTACTGCAACTCCAACACTTGTTCGACATGAGCTTGCCGGTGCTATATCATTATTCCATTGATTTGTTTGAGGATCAAATCTATGCATAGTAATATTTATATGAGAAATATTCTGTATTAAATTTACTTTTCCACACTGTTCAAATAACTAACGCCATCATGTCCACCAACAGCATATAAAAGATTATTAAGTACAGCTACACCAACTCCACATCTTCGTTTTGACATTGGTGATACAGCTCTCCGTTCATTTGTAACTGGATCAAACATTTCAACACTGGCTATGGCACCGCCAGAACACCAACCTCGAACTATTTTAAGATTGAAAATTTAAATTAAAAAACAAGAGCTAATTTAATATAAAATAACAAACCAGCAAACAAAACTTCAGATGATTTTATTGGTTTTCTTCTTCTTGTTCTTGGTCCTTGCATACTCAAAACGTTCCTGTGGTAATAATAGATAATATTTTGCTTGATCAGATCGAATTAGTGGATCTGAACTAACTGTATTAACAAGAAATCGAGCACTCATCAATGGAAATCGTACATGTTCTAAGANATATCACTTAATTCAATCTTAACAGATGATAGAAGTATTGTATATAAATATTGTTCTATGTAGATTTAAAACAACTTTTTAAAATGTGTTGTTTATTATTGAGTTGAAATGAAAACAATAGAAAAATACTATGTGAATAAATTGGATTGCAAAGGGTGTTTAGTTGCTATGCCACAAATCAGTTAGAAAAAAAAATAAAGTAATAATCAAACAAAAGATCCATGGTCATATACAAGTGAAACAAAATTTTCTACTCTTCAAGTATAGAACGCATTCTTCTTTACAATAAATGTTCTGATAAATATTTATTAATGAGAAATTGACAAGTTGGAAATTTTCATAAAATGAAAAACAAGGTGCCAAACAGAGTATCAAAAACAAACCGCAAATATCATCAGTGTTTTATTGTCACCAATAATGATATATGCTGCTAGAACCGCTGATCTGTTTTCGGCCCACTGAATATCTTCAATGGACATTCATGAAAACAATGGACCAATAATGAGATAGTTCTTTATGAAATAAAGAAATTGACAGTGAAGTTAGAAAGTTTTTTTAGTGTGAAGTTAAATAAAAACTTGGTTCATTTAAACACAAATGATTAAAGAGCAACAAAATTTCTGGCTGAATTCTTATCAATTCCTAGAGAATGTTAATTTAAGAATAGACTATTTTATGGATAATTTCTAGAAGACGCAAGTTTTATTTCAGAAAATATATTAAAGAGTAATATTGCATATTTTGCAGAATGCAAGAGTTGAAAACGAAAGAAAAATTTCAAATAGAACATATTTCCTGTGATTAATGGAGAACCAAATGAATGCAGGATAAAAAATTTTTAAATAATGATTCATTTTCATCGAAATACGAGCAATTTTATATATTATGAATATGTAGATCATTTGTTCTGTTTGTAATTAGTAAAGGCTTTTTGAAGACATGAAAGTTTATTTTAATGATAAAAGTAGACTAGTTTTATTCTTTTTTCTTCTTGATAAATGAATACTAAAAGAGATGTAACGATCAGGTGATCTTTGACTCAAAATAGTTTGTAAAACAAACAAAATGAATGATGAATATCAATATAGATTAGGTGACTTTATTTTAGTAATTTGAAGTGTTGCGTGAGTGGGAAACTGGACATTGATTGAACAGCAGATTTCCACATTCATACCCCTTCCTTACACGTAGGATATCTTGGAGTTTGATTCGAGTATTTCGCAACTGGATTCGCCTACAGGTTATACCAAAGCGTAAAAAGGCTAAATCAAGATAGATCTCGACGAGTTCTATCTTGGTATACTCTTTTTAACTTTTGGTATAACCTACAGACGAATCCCGGTGCGAGTTACAGAGAAAATTCGATTCTGGATCTTGTTCAGTTGAGTTTTCAGGCATCCAATAATGGAATCGGGCCTGAATGGTGATCATTCGATAGAGCGTATCAAGCTCTATTTCCTGATAAAGTTTCGTCGTTTGGTCTAATCTATGAGCGAATCGCGACAAGTTTTACGAAAAACACTGGATTTTTTGAAAGTATTTCAGGTTTTTCTCCTTGAAGGAGGGTCCTGAGAAAAAAGTAATTAGTGGAATCGATAGAACTCGTCGAGATCTATCTTGTTTTAGGCTTTTTACGCTTTGGTATAACCTGTAGGCGAACCCAGTTGCGGAATACTCGAATCCAGCTCCAAGATATCCTAAGTGCATGCCAAAATGTCAAATTACGGCGATTTACGGTCGGAAACGTTGCAAAACGGTGGTATAAGGCCGCTTACGATCGTATCAGGTCGTCCGAATGTTCGACCTGGGAATATTAATTGTTACCTTGGTGAGGATAATAGAGTTATAAGTTTATACATTAATTGAAACACGGTTTTAGTTAAGTCAATTAACAGTAAGACATGGTACAGTTCTAATCAACTACAGTACATTCACGGCAAATTATCTGGCGACGAATTCACTTAGCACCTATGTACTAAACCCCTGTGCATTTTATTCTTGAACTATTGCATATATATCTAACATAAAAATCAGACACTCAAACTGTATCGAATCGAATCCTTTCAAATATATTCAGTGCATAATGTCGTCTTTTTGTTTAGATTGTAAAGTGATATAACTCTGCATGAAGGTTTTCTTGATTGATTGGTGCTACAAATGATTGCTGATAAAGAATTATGGTTATTTCGTTTATTTCAGGGTTTCAAATTCTATCGTCGTAATGATTTTCGTTTTCATTATCTAATTCAAGTTGTATCAAAACCATCTTGTAGATCGTCTTCATTATTTTGTATTATACTTAACCTTCACGATAAAAACGTTCATTATCCAACAAGAAGATTGGTTTGCAATTATCGTCTAATGGAAGTAGGTGATCAATAGTTGTCTTGTGAAAAAGATTCGGCTTTCATTCAGTATCATACATGGAAAGTTAAAAAGAAAATCGAATTGATTTTTAGTTTAGAAATATCCTACAGAAATGCGCAGTATAGAAAATACACTAATGCTATTTGTTTTTCGTATCAACACAGGCTAAACCGGATCGAAACTTTTCTGTTTGACTTAATATTTCAATAATGTCTAGCTATATTTACAAAAGCATTCTATCTTCTACTATTTTCGATTGAATAAGGCCTCGATTTTCTGCTTAATTTAAGTAACACATTCAAAAACGTAATAGTATTCGAGTTATAGATGCATAAAACGATATTTATACTTCACTGATGCAAAATAGACACTTCGTCCTGTGAGAATTTCTTCTAGTAATCATACAGAGCAATCAACGTTGGATGATCTACGTATCTGTAATAACCCCATTCAGGATTATATTAAATCCGTTCATTTATTCATGACGATTAACAGAGCTGCTCATAAATATATGCAAGAAAAGATCTGGAATATTTTTCACGGTTAAATATCTAAATGTGGAATTATCATGAATGACTTGCAGTATTAATCGAGACCTGAAAAGTTTTCTTTGGCTTCATATAAAGTACGACTAAAACTAAATTTTAGATATATATGTGGCTTAATGCTTCATAAGAGAATTTCATATCAATTATTATTAATGGTAGTAAATTGATGGATGCTGAATAAATTATAGAAGAAATACAAGAATTTTGTTCTGTCTAGATAGATATATGTAATGTCGTTAATGTTTTCTTGGTGGGCTATTGATCATCATCTCCATGCAAATTAATAAAACATCAACGCATTGAATTGAAGCAAACAGATGATGTGTCTATCTTTGTACTGCATAGTTCTTCATGATTGGCCTTGTATGTCAATTTTATTAGTAGAAATTTATGCAAATCGATCCAAAGCAGTTTTCTTATCTCTATTGTTGCTTCATTATTTGATATTATTCAATGAAATTGTATTTTAACTAAATAATCATAATGAGATTTTTTACAACACAAACACTGTTACTAGTTCAAAATCCAATTCTTTCATCAAATAAGCTATATTATTTATTTTGCCATTTTAAACGTGAGGAAAAAATAACACGGACATGAAAACATCGTTTTTAGTACTTTTAATAGAAGGAATAAGTTTATTTTCTCTCTGTTCTTTTTGTGTCTTTGTACATCTGACTAATAATTTGCAATTGATCGATAAATAATTAAATAAACAAACAGGATTGAGAATACAAATCACCGGTCATTATTGAATTGATCAATAATCATTGAACGAGATAATTTCATGGCTGTTTGATTACGAATAAATTCTGTTGATTTGGATTTGACTAATGCTGAAAAATCAGCGAACGACGGAGAAGATTTTATTGAGCGTGCACATGTCTTACAAACTGGTGCTAGACTATTACTATATAAACCAGGCAAATAAATACCACGTTCAATACAACGTGCACAAAAATTTTCTCCACATCTCCAACAATTATACTAAAATAAAAGGAAGAATGAAATTTTGTTTTCATATTCTGTGTTAAAGTCTAAAACCTATAAATTGAGAGTAAATTTTCGAAAGTTAAACGTTATAGATTGTGCAGGCCAGTCCTACGGCTACACAATTTCTCTTTAAGTTTTTCCCGAGTATGCCGAGATTTCTTTCTCAAAACAAAAAATAACAATTCACTTTTCGGGAGCGGCACGACCAAATATAAAACAAATTGTGTTGATTCAACCGAACGATAAGTTCAAAATCAATGCCAATGGTAAAAGTACTTCTCTAGTATCTCGGGGCATTTACGGGGTAAATGTTTTTTAATAGAAACTCTTTTGAATCGGATCTTTCTGAGTACTATTTTTGACTACGATGTAGCTTGTAACCTGAAGTCGACTATCAAGTTTTTATCATATTTTTACAGTCAAAGGGAAGATAGGTATTTGCCGTTTTGTTTTCTTAGATAAAGAAAATAAAGGTTAAAATTCGTTCTACTCATACTTTTCTTTGTGCAGAATCGAATGGTAATGAACAAGAACAATGGAGTGGTGTATGATATGAACGCCAATCGAGTGCTATTGAATTAAGTTCCAATGCAATACGTTCTATGGTTGGCATGTCATTTGTGTCAATACTTGACTGACGTTGAAATATAAATGATGATAATGGAGTTTTTCCATGTGGTGAATAATCACCACTAAAACCACTTTCAACATCCGATGTAGATAATGTTGGTGGCTTAAGTATTGTATTTAATTTTAATGATATTGAATCTGCTATTCGTGTTTGAGATAGTTCTGCTTCACTGATGCCACTATCAAGTTCTGGAAGTGATATTTTCTTATGATGATTTCCTTTCTCAACATCAGAATCATCAACATCTTCGTTTGATGTTGTCGTTGTTGTTGTTGTTGTTGTCGTACTACTGCTAGTTGTTGTTGGTCTTGTTGTACGATCACCATCGATCATTGAATGAAGTTCGCGAATGCGCTAAACAGAGAAGAAAACAGCCTATATGGTTTTTAATTCTTCTATCTTTCTATATTCAACCTTTTCTAATAATCGTGCATGATCATTAAGTGACAGTGTGTGATCAACGAGATGTGCTAATGTATTGGAAATATTTTCTTTTGGTAATAATGAACTATCAAAACGATGATACATGCTTAACCAAAATCTTAAATAAATAAATGAGTTAATTAAAAATTGAAATTTAAGCCAATTAATAATACTTTAGTGTTTGAGCGTTTATAACTGGCAGAAGAACTTCACTTGCATAGGATGACTGTGGTCGAAATAATGGATTTTTGAAATCGTTTACATTTTGTAATACATAATTCCAATATGAATATGTTCGTTCTTTAACACTGAAATAGATTTTCGGAAGAAAAAAATAATTAATATTATCTAAAAGAAAAAGAAGTAAACAAACCACAAATCGAGACGATCCTTTTCACAATTGCCAATAAAATTTCCGTATTGACATGAATGTGAATTATCGTGTAAGGATATGAGGAAACGTTCATTAAACTCAAATGCTGTTGGATATATTTGACTTAATTGCCACACAGATTCAATAAACTAAAACGAACAATTTAGATATCAATAGTTTTAATTACAAAAAAAACCTGAAGGAAAATCGGCGATTGTTCTTTACTATCGCTTGTTGCTGTATGTCCACAACGATCAGAAAATTTGTGTCCAAATGAAAGCCATTCTTTTTCAATTAGCATCTAATTTTAAACAAGTATTTAAAAAAGTATTCTTTAGAAAAAGCAAAGTTAAATCCTACTCGAAAACCATGTATAGATCGATAATATGGACAGAGAAGTAGCGATGCCAATGAACAACATTGTGCTGTTCGATCCCAACCATCGGAACAATGAACAAGAACGTTTTTCTTTTCAACTTCAATAGCCTAGATCAACGAAAAAAAGGTTTTCCTTTACTGGAAACTTGCTTTTATATTTATATACTCGAGCAATTAATACAGCAGTATCTAAAAGCGATTTTATATGTTGTAACCATGATGAATTATCTAGGGCATTTAAATATTGATTCATTGTCGGATTTTTCATCTCGCATGCTAAAAGAAAATTTCTTCTTTTTATGTAATTTTGAATTTAAATTTCTTTTGTACATTACTTTCAAGTAGCTTCTGTAAACTGCCACGCATAATATGAATATTTTCAATAGAACAAAATTTAAATTGAATATTTGAATAATAATCTTCATTTTCATAACCTTTACCAGCTGCACGATTAGCTACAGCATTGATCTGTTAAAGAAAATACAAAAATAGCTGGTAACATTTTGCATTTCTCAACTGAAAATCCTTTTCTTCTACTTGTATAATGAGGTTTATTTTAAATTAGTATGAGTGCATCTGATTTCCTTTGAATACCTATCTATAAACAAGAACTTCCGATGTGATAGCAAATAGTTCCGGGTCCGAGATTTATTAACACGAGTATTCTTCATTCTTCTTAAGAGCAAACTTCTTAAAAATCAACCCAACGCTCTCATAGAAGCAATTAGACTATCTTTCAATTTATATATATATATATACGTATATATAGACGATTGGGTGCAAGCCTATACTTTTCAGATCTTCCGGATTGTAACATTATTCTAGATTCGAAAAAAAACGAAGCTAGTAGCAATCGTTATTAAACAATGAAAAACATGTTAAAATATCAAATAGCTATCGTTACAAATTCTAGAGAAAGTTCTATTTATAAAATATCCATGACTCATATGATAGTCTCTTAGTTTCATGTATTTCGAAATATTCTCTATCTCGGTCGTTTTTACTCGTTAATAGATAATCTATATAATCTTTTTTTTCATCGATTATCATACCCGAGGTCTTGTATCAATGATATACATTGTATTTGAATATGGGTTTGTTTTAAGTATACATTGGAGAAGTTGTTCATCCTCTTGACAACGAGCACTAAAACCAGATAATGGTTGTGAACATCGAGTTATTGATGCCTAGTAAGTAAAGAAATAATTAAAAATAGATATTCTTCAATAATACATACCCCATTCGGATGTAAATAGGTAAGAACAGGTAATCGTCCGCGACTTCGAAATTTCGCACTTCCAAATAACATTGCTTTTGTTGTTAATATTGGTACATAGATTAATGGCGGATATGTATCACACATGTCGAAATTGCTATTTCCATCTTCAACTTTCCAATCCGCATTTGGTACACCCATTCGCATATATTCTGTGGCCAACAAAAATGGGTCCCAAATTTTTTCAAGATAATTTGGTGCTTGGTAGAGAAAACAATAGAGTTTTTCATAAGAATCTTAACAAGCAAACAAGCAAACATAGATTCATGGTTTTTAATTGAGATTTATTTCTATTACCTGGTTTTAGTTGATTGAGTGTGGCATGTAAATCAGCACAATCACGTTCTTTTGGAATGGTAAATTCTGCTGCAAGGAAATGTTTTGTTCGAACACGTAACGGGCAACCATGTTGCGTTGTTGGTAATTTATCAACAGAGGATGTAAGAGAATGAAGAATCTAAAACGATGATAAAAATTAAGCTTCCTATTTTTATTTTTTATTTAGTTACCCAAGTTTCTCGTTTGCCTTCTGGATCAATAAAAATAAGATGTGTCGAAGTCAAATAGATTGTGCCTGTTAAACGAAGACGAAGAAGAAGAAGAAAAAATTTAACTATAGTACAAGACGAATCATAGTAATTATTGTGATCGTTACCAATTATTTGTTGATGACTGTTGAAGCGATCAATTAAACGTACATTCTCCACCTAATAAAGAATAACAGAAAACAATTCAATCAAAATTTATTATTAGACATGTAGATTTAGTTTCGCTTTTACTCGGCGCTTCAATTGATACTTGCCCATGAATTAATGTCTAAGAGAAATAGCGACTCAAAATTTCTATACTGGCAACCTCCTGAGAACGCAGACGTCTAATATGATTACAATATATTGACTTGATGATTTCTTTTTCTTTTATTTTTATTTTCGGCATACAGATATAAGAAAAGAAAATAAGAAGAAGAACTCATGATGTTCTATTTCTGTATCCAAATCTGTTTTCTTTATTTCAAGTTCAAGCTAATTAGAACTCGTTGAAAAGACTTTTTTTCTCATTCTTACTCACAGTTTGCCTATTACAATTATCCCTCACATCCAGAACTATTATGTTTTTGATTTTCATAATTAAGAAAAGTATGCATACAGAGCAAAGATTCGCTTAAATTTTGCTAACTGTAAAACGTAGAAATCTAGCTTGTCACGCATTTGTTTAGAGGGACAAGATTCCAAAAGGCATTCTTTTCTTCATCTTTTTTCTTTCTTTTGCTCGCCTCCTACCCATCGAGTAAACAAATTAGATACACATCTTCAATGCAAATCATCTTCTCGTTTTTCTTCTTCTTTATAAATCAGTATTGACTAGGTCTTTTATTTTGATTTTTGTTTTGTTACCTTGAGATAAGCGGTAGAAGAAAGAAAAGCTTTTAATTGATCAAGTTTTGATGATATTTGTTTGAAAACTTCACTAAATAAATGGCGATTCATCGATGTGACGACAAGAATAACCATGAACGATAGACGTTGGATGTATTGTTTAAAAAGACGAGAGAAAACAGACGAAATCGTTCTCTCTTCTCAGCTCTATCCTGATCGATTTTCTTCTTTTTTTCTTTTAATGTTCTTTTCCTGCTCTCATGTTCGCATGGCTAGGTTAAAACGCATCTGATTTGAACTACAGCGTATTGTTAGTCGCTAGCGCATGCTTTCTGCTACAATACACGGGAATGGCACGCTAACGGTTACTATAAGAAACAAGAGAGGAAAGGGAGGGAAAACAGAGAGAGAAAAAGAGCAAGAGCTCGTCGATCTAAAACTTTAGCAAGTGTATACGCCTTAGTTTGAATGTTCCTTTCTCTCGTGTGTGTTGCGTGTGAGTGCATAAGCAGACTAAGATTTGCGCTTGCTACATGTTGCTCATTAGCACAACGAAGAAAAAAAAGAGATAATAACGATGATGGCAAAGAAAGAAAGAAAAAAAAAGAGAAACTAGATGCTGTAACTTCCAACAACAAGAATGTATTTGATTTAAATTGACACGTTTAAAAGCATTTCATTTTTAAAACGTGTTGTAAAACAACTTAATCATTTATATGACTAATTATTTTATCTATAAATACTTACAACACGCAATGGTGTAAAACGATCCAAACGATTCATCTCTTTCTTCTTTTTTTTATATGTTAAATAGATGAAACATAGAAGTTTTGATCAAATATGATGGAATACGAGAAAAAAAGAACTTCCATGAATCATGAACTAATATCTTATTAACTAATCAAACAAGAAATAAAAATCGATTGAATCATTAAATCCGTTAAACTTTCTTATTCATTTATGTTATTAGAATTAGACAAGCTCAATGCATCACATTGATTTCGTTTTTCAGTATTCGAATGACTTTATTATAGATGTCACTGATATTCAGAAAGGTAGGTTTATATACAGTTTAAGAGTTTAAGTCTGCAACAGGAAGCTTTCCGGAAATGTAATCTTACGTTAGAAGCAATTTTTTCTTGTATTGCATTTGCTTTATATCGCTATTATATTTCCTATTGATAGATTCATATTAATTTCATATTTCAAGATAATCAGGTTGTGCAAGAAAAAAAGACAGAAAAATTATGTAGAAAAAAAAATATCTTTCTCGGCTAAATAATCATACCTCGCAAGAAAGAAAGAGATTATCATCTTACCTTTGCATCTTCAAGTATTCGTATTTCATGAATATTGGACTTTGGCCAGAAATAGGCAAGCATTCAATTAGAATGATGCACCATTTCAAAACAGAATATTATGTATGCGTTGTAATGATGATTTTCAATTTCATCATTGATCATTGCACAAATTATCGAATTCTATGTAGGAAACTGACATGTTTCTAAAAGCATATAATATATATATATATGAGTGGAGGTGAAAAACTTAGCAATCAGAAAGAAGAAAAAACAAGAGATAATATGGTACCAGAAAGAAAAGAATAGATCTCATCTCGTCTAGTAAATTATTCATCTAAGAACTATAGGATTCGATCAATTTCAATAGTTTCTCGGTATGAATCTGATAGAAGAGAAATAGGTAACAAATTTTATTTTCATCGAAAAGAATACCAAAAGCAGTACCAATAATAATAATAATAATAATAATAATAATAATAATAATAATAATAATAATAACAGCAATAACAACAAATCTATGAGTGAGACCAACGCGTTCTAGCGTCTTCTCACTCGCTAGATGTGATGACGAGTAGTTCGTAGAACTAATGAAAAAAAGAAAAATGAATAATCATACTATGTTTTTTGTTCTTTCCGCACTATTCTTGCTCGTCTATATGTGCGTGTGCATCAAACGGGATGGGAGGGTCGACAAAGAGTTCCTATTGTCGGTAGTTGGATGGAAGAAAAAGAAGCAAGCATGCGTTTTCTAACTACAGTTTAGGACGTATATATTCACTTAAAAAAACGAAGGATGAACGTTTTTGCACACATAAAATTACAACACAAAACTTATAATTATAATGATTAGTTATTTAAGGAAACGAAATTATTTACTTATATCTACATGAAAGGTTACACTGATTGTTTTCAATAAAATAATCGAGAAAACAGCATATTTACCAAAAAAATGATTAATGAGTGCCTTGTTTTCCTACTATATACACTTCATCCTATGTAGTCGTGTGAATAGTTGCAGCATTTGCTTAGGGTTCGATTTCATCGGGTTTTGTGTGTGGGTATATGTGGGTGCGCTTATATTCAAGCACACAAATGATACAATGATTCAATTAACGAGAATTGAGTTATTCATCCGTTCTTTTTGCTCCATAAATCTATTTGTCTGTTTGTGGATAGTGTCACTTGCTTCTTGAACTACATCAACAGGATATTAACTCAAGTAGACGCTCTCTCTTACACTTAGCTAATCCAAAAAACAGTCGGTTTTCTTCTCTTTCTTTCGTTGAACTTACTAGCTAGCTGCTTTTCCAAGGGTCTATATCGATATAGTTTTTTTGCTTAAAAAGACATGTTTTTGTTAATTAATTTTGCAGAATAATTATAAAGCGTGTAAATTTTTACATGTATTTAATAGATCATGCGGCAGATTTATAGTTTAATACCTTTTATGTCTATGTTGAACGTAGGAAGAAAAATTGCTAGGAAAAAAAAGAAGAAAATGCTAAATGATGTTGATAAAAACAAACGACTTGCTATAGCAAAATAACGAATGACTTTGAGAAAGAAGAAGAAAAAAAGAGGAAAAAATATATAGAGGGAAGGAGAGAATAGACATGGCATTCTATTATAAACAAAAGTATGTTTATTAGCGTGCAATCAATTGAAACAAGAATTTGAAGAAAAAAAAAGAAAATTCATGATAATTTATAAATTGGCTCCTATAGTTTGTTTTTACTCCATTGGGCTTTGACATATGATCTATTCGACAAACAAATATAATATATTCTTCAGCATGAATAATAATAATGAAAAATGTTAAGGAACTGTTTTAAACGATGACTGACTGCGATAATTAAAAAGTCAAGTCAAAGAAAGCTTCCTTAACCTAAAAGGGTTTTAGAAGAAAAAGAAAATTTTTTCTCATATATTTAATTGTATTTTTTTTTGTGTGGCATCTTTCTGTCAATAATAATTAATATCAATATGGCTAAATTTGCTGCTTCTTTTGCTTCTCCTCTTTTTGTGCTATTGAATTTAATTATTTCCGCGTGACGTTTGAAGTCTGTCTCTATTCTCATAATAATATATACATATACATTAATTTTAATATATAGAAAGAAAATTAGTTTCCTTTTTTTATTTTCTAAAAATAAAAGTTCAGCACTATCTGATTAATAAATAAAATTCAGAATGTTATTTATGAATTAAATCCGCGGTTTCTATTGAATACATAATTACCACATGTTGTGTACTTTATTTAATAGAAGATAATACACTTTATTTTCTATAGTATGCCCATTGAATTTAATTTCATTGTTAGTGAGAGATAATGTTTTTATACAATGAAGTTCACGTTGCCATTAAATGCATAGGTCAATGAAGATTAAGCGAAACGAAGCCTTTGCCATAAAATAAAGAACTTGCTTTGATTCTAATCTAACGTTAATAAAAATGACTTTAAATTTAAGTTTAAAATTAATATTACAGAAGCCAAGTAGAATAACAATTGTTTTTTCTATTGCCTTTCAGATAAAAAAAACTGGATAATATATTTTTTTTCTAATTAATTATGTTTGCTGTTTGTAATTTTTGTTTTTGGATATTTTTTCGAATAAGATTTATTTGAATAGTATTTAAAATCTTTTGTTCCTATTTTTATACATCGTCTAATTAGTTTGTTCTCGCCCCTTTCTAATAGATCGAAAGAGGAGGAGTTTTCATGTTTACATAATGCGAATAGTAGGGGTATTTCTTTGTCTTTCGTATTGTGTTGTACTCCCAATCATCAAGTCGAGGTAAACTACATGTACAAGCGGTTTTTTTTCTTCTTTTTCTTCTTTTGATTGTTTACAAACGGATCTGATCATTGTCGTTGTCTTTATCGTCGTGCTGTACGTTTCCTGTTCTCTTACTGAACAACACATTGTCTCTCTCTCTCTCTCTCTCTCGCTGCGTTTACGACTCGAATGTAACCAGGAAGAGAGAGAGAGTGAGTGAGACAACAAATTTTGTTACCTAGTTTTAATCCGGCAAACCTTTTACTTCTTTCTCTCTCTCGTTCTCTCTACTTTGTTCAATCATACAATGAGCTTTTCTCTTTTTTCGTTACGTGCACCATTACGTCAGTAGTAACTCAATAAGACTAGGTTTAAAACAATGCCCTATGGTGATGGCATTTTGGAATCACCAGCTGATCGATATGGAAAAACAACATTATGCATGCGCAATGCAAAACGTTTATTTAAATGTGCTGCATATGTGGTCTATTTTGTTGGTGTACTGATCTTTGCTGTTGCAAGTAAAGGATCATTTCTTCTTATGACACAAAGTTTAGGAAATCGATTACAAGTTTGTATTTTAATTGTTTTTTTTTGTTTTAATAAAATTGAAAAGAAAAATTCGTATTGATTTCATAGGAAAAACAATATGCAGGTCGTTGGTCATTGATGTTAGTTGGAACAATATGCGTTCCATATGTATTTCTATTTCTTGAAGCACTTGCAAAAAGTCTTTTTCGTAATCGACGTGGGCCAGTGTTTGCAGATTTAATAACAGTAATGACAATGAATACATGCACATATATGTATGTTATTATAAAATGATAATTATATTTTTAGATCTTTGTTCTTGAGAGTATTCATACATTTGGTGTTTGTTTACTCGTATTTCGTGTTTTACCAAGTTGTGATGTTATACGTGGTCTTTTGTTGATGAATGCTGTTTGTACTATTCCTGCATTTTGTAAATTAACATTATCAAAAAGTAATTCAAGACCCATGTTACGATTTTTAACATTATTTGTTGATTTGGCTGCATTTGCTGCTCAATGTTCCGTTTATTTTATTGTAACAAGTACACAATTTACAGCGTTTCTGACAAAACCATCAGGAGCAACAACAACACCAGCTACACCAATTGGCGATTTGTCAGCATCGGATCCATACGATTCAATGAATACAGCCATGAGTAATTCAATGAAAGCAGCAGCCGATACAATTGAACAAGTACAATTACGTTTTGGTTGGGAAGCACCTGTAGCATTATTTTGTGTATCGATTGTTTGGTGGGAAAACTACGTTGATAGAGATATTAAATTAGGCAAATTAAATATTCCATTAGGAACATATAAGCGGCATTTACAATCAATACGATCCAAAGCAAATATAGGTGCTTCAATATGGAAAATAGCGCTTACAGTTGCATTTAGTTTTCTTCTATTGCCAAGAGATCACTTTGAAAATGTATTTGTATCATTTAATAGTAATCGAGTAGGCAATGGACTTACAGATACATCATTACATGCTGGACCGGAATTAAATAATTATGATGCTGGACCATTATCAAATCAATTTGATATGAACAGTAATGATTTGCCTGTACGACATAAACGTCAAATGCCATTATTTCCTGGTGGTGGTGGTGGTGTTAGCGATGATAATAATACTATTATGGGTAAAATAGGTGGAAATGAACAAATGACTTTATTTCCAAATAATGATGAAGATCCAAGTGTGGCAGCAGCTGATCCATTTGATATTCAGCCAGATAGGGTATTTAGCTAAGACATCATTTCATTAATAAATCACGATTTTTCTTTTGTTATTCCAGGAGAAAACTATAGATGACTATTGGCATTCTATAGGGCCATTTGTTCCTATGATTATACATTTTTTTTCAACTGGTCTATGTTATTATTTTTCAAAATCAGCATGTAAAATGCAAATGCAACGAGTGGCATTTGCTGTACCATTAACTTTAGCAACACCTGTTACATTAGCGATTATGATTGGTTTGTGTCAATGGAAAACTGATCAAATTGTTCTCATACGTGAAATCATGTATTGGGAGTGTAGCGAAAATCTGAGTTCAACACGCATAACATGGCATATTGTAGTTGGTTTAAGTCTTTGGTATCTATCACAATTATGGATAACATCACATGTATGGTTTCCTGAAAATAAACGTTTAGCTACAACTGAAACGTAAAGATATATATATATATATATATAAATGTTTTTGTTAGATTATTAATTGAGCTTTTATTTTGTTTGTTTATGTCAATAGATTATTTGTTCTTCCGCAATATGATAGTTCATTAATTGAACAATCACTTCTATTAAATCGACGTCGTAACGAACCAGAGCACCAGAAAAATATATTCGAAGAACATTTAAAAGGTTTAGGGATGGCTGCATCTTGTAAGTGACTTTTTTTTCGTTTTCGCTCCTTTGTTTGTTTTGACATCATAGATCAAGTATGTCATAAGGTTATGGTATGATAGAAAGATATTTACACACAATCTTCTTTACGTGTGTGTGTATGATTGTCTAATTTGCGGAGAGAAAAAAAAGACAGAGAGAGAGACGATGGCCTTTTTGATTGAATGTCTGGACAAATATTAAATCTATGATGAGAAAATAGTAGATATTACATAAAGAAATAGTAAAAGGAAAAAATGTTCAAGTTCATTTTTTTCGTTTGCCACAGCTGAAGATGAAAAATTAGAAAATAATACAAAAATTTACTTATGTGGAACATTATGGCATGAAACGATTAGTGAAATGATTCTTATGCTTAAATCGGTTATGAGGTAAAAGACAGGAAAACTTCATTTTTATTTACATACAGATGTAAATCTATTATGTTTTTTGTTTATTTAATAGAATGGATATTGATCAAAGCGCTAGACGACAAGCACGAGATGAATTTCAAGTCATTGATCCAGATTACTATGATATGGAAGGTATGTAATATATTACAATGTTGTCTAATTAAATGTATCAGATACTCTATGTATTCAAGTGTTTGTAGAATAAGTTTCTTCGTTAAGCATAAATTAGAATGACGAAAAGTTATTTTTATTCTGTTTATGAGAATTTAAGACATGAATTATTAATGTCGAATACTTACACTGTGTTTTGTTTTACACGAAAGTAAAAAGTATGACTTATCATTGTTTGTCGTTAACCATACTATGATTAGACACAACTAGAATAATAATCGCCTGGAAATCGTCTATTAATAAATAAACCGGTTTATACGTTGACAATATTCAAACAGAATACTTTTGTTTTTACAAATACGTATATAGCCTAGAGTCTGTTTTGAAGATTTTTATCTCAAGTTTACTTCAAGTTTTAATCAAGTTCTTTCACTAGGAGTATATTATCGATTATAGCTATATGTTTTTTTTCACTGATACATCCTACGCATTGTTTATATGATGATGATGATCTTTTACTAATCAAGTCATGATCGACTGTCATCTTGAGAATATAAATCATCGTTTCCGCATCTGACGGATACTAATTACAAGAAAATTGCTTTGGTTTTTATTCCTATAAATTTTAACTCGTTATACTCACTAATAATAATTTAATTATTATCTTTTTCATTAGCTCATGTCTTCTTTGATGATGCCTTTTATCACGATGAAAATCAACAGCGTACATTGAATATTTTTGTCAATGACTTTTTTGAAGCTATTAATAAAGCTGCTGGGTAAATTCATAGACATATAGTTTTATAATTAAAATATTTATATTAAATTTTTTCTTCTTGTAGAATTGTTCATGATGTCGAAGGAATGAAATTGGCTCCACCGCAAAAAACAGCCACACCATACGGTGGCCGTTTATCGTGGCGATTACCAGGTGGAAATTTACTTGTTGTTCATCTTAAAGATAAACTGAAAGTCAGTAAGAAAAAACGATGGAGTATGGTGAGTTTTCCATAGATTCTCTTTTTCTTTTATCTGATATACGAAAATAAAGAAATATATTCTATCTAGGTGATGTATATGTATTATTTACTTGGTTATCGCATTCTTGGCCAATGTGAAGACCGAATGAAATCCTTAACGAAAATAATTGAAGATTCACCTGATAAAAGAAATTATCGTCGACATTTTGATCAAAATGAAGATTTACATGTTTATTATAAAGATATTCTAGGGCCACGTTTATTACTTGAAGTAAATTTCAAAACGAAAACTTTCTAAATTGTAATATTTTGTTTTTTTTTCATAGGCGGAGAATACGTTTATTTTATCGGTTGATGGTGATGTTGATTTTGGTCCGGACTCAGTTCGAATGTTGACGGATCGAATGAAAAAAGATAAAAAAGTTGGAGCAGTTAGTAGTCGAATTCATCCTATTGGTAGTGGTCCATTAATATGGTATCAGGTAATATTCGTCATTTCATTTGATCTAGTCAAATCAAATATTTCCGCATTTAAATTGAATAGAAAATGGAATATGCTATGTGTTATTGGTTACAAAAAACAACAGAACATAGTCTTGGTTGTGTTCTATGCGCTCCTGGCTGTTTCGCTTTGTATCGTGCATCAGCTTTAATGGATGACAATGTTATGAAAGTTTTTGCAGCACGTTGTGAATCGCCCGAAGATTATCTTCTTCGAGATTTAGGCGAAGACCGATTTCTAAGTAAATTATTAATTGAACAAGGTTATAGAATTGAATATTGTGCGGCTGCTGATGCATATACACACGCACCAGAAACATTTACTGATTTTTTTAATCAACGTCGTCGATGGATACCATCAACACTTGGCATAACTGTGTCGATACTTAAAAATTATCATCGTACAATACGTGTCAATGAAAGTGTTTCATTTCTAGCTATACTCTATCATGTTTTCTATCTTGCTCTATACATACTAAGTCCAGCAACAATAACTATTGCCATAGCTGATGCATTCAGTGCAACAACTGATATTGACGTTTGGGCGGCATATACACTTGCTTGTTTTCCTGCTGTAGCATTTTTAATGATTTGCTATCACGATATATCAGAAGAGAAAAAGATTATTTGTGCAGCTATATTTGGAACGTACTATGCTATTGTTATGATGATTGTCGTTGTTGGAACAATAGTGAGAATGGTCGATGGATCATGGAAAACAACGGCTGTCTTTTTTCTACTGTTTATGGGAATTATTTTCTTTCTTACGGCAATTTGTCATCCGTATGAATTAAGTACGTATAAGGAGAACGCCAGTTAATTAGTTTAGAATTTAAGCAAAAGTATTGGCCACCTTAGTGGAGGGCCTACACAACAGAAGGCCTATCAAGTAGAATTCAGAATTTAAAAAACTCACAAAAATTCTATTTTATAAGTATTGTCTTCATCAAAAAACAGTCACAGAATTCTGCTGGGTAGAGAGTCTGCAATTGTTCATAGAGTAAACTTCAACTTATTTAATATAAATTTCTCTTTTAGACTGTGTTCAGCCATGTTTACTTTTCTTTCTTTGTGTTCCAACATCGTATGTTTTACTTGTTATTTATGCATTAACAAATTTAAATGCAAATGCTTGGGGCACACGCGAAGATATCTTTATACCCAATCGAAAGAAAAAACAAAAATTCAAAAGTCAAGCTGAATGTTTACAATTCCTGGAACAACAATTTTCAAATGCAAAAAATTCTAATGAACTTTTAGCTGTTGTTGAAAATTTAATTGACGAATGTCATTCACAACGTACAGAATCCAGTGATCAATTATTAGCGCAAATAACTGCTGTACTCAATCGCATCAATATGTTCGATGATCTCGATAAACGCTTAAATCAAGGTCTAGATTTGCATGGTATCGGCTTAGAAGAACTTGTTGAAGAACAACAAAAAAGTCAAAATCAAAATTTACTTCATGAACAAAAACATAATGAACAGATGATGAAGAAATATGATGATCGCGTAAATCCATATTGGTTTGATCATCAATTAGTTAAATATGCTGATGTAAAATTTCTAAAGGAAAATGAGTTTCTTTTCTGGAGACGACTCATACAGAAATATTTAAAACCTATACATATGGATGCACTGGAAAAGCAAAAACTTCAATTAGGATTAAATGATTTACGTGATCAAGGTGTATTTGCATTTTTCATGCTTGATGCATTATGGATAGCATTTGTTTTTTCTGTTTTACTTGCACAAAATCGTTTGAAAGATATGTTATTTATTCCTGTGCCTATTCCGAGTTCATACAATGATCATGCTATGATTGAACCATTGGGTGTTATGTTAATATTCTTTTTTGGTATTATATGTTTAATACAATTCGTAGCTATGCTTTGCCATCGTTATAACACATTTCAACATATATTGGCATCAACTAAACTTCGTTCAAGTAAATTTGAAGGCGTTCGAATTGAAGATATTATGGATATTGTTAAAATGCTTCAACAAATCAAAGTAAGGAAAATCGATTAAAGAAAGTTGTTTTCTAAAACAAAATGTTTGCTTTAGCCCATTGACGAAGAGAATGAACCGTTACCTGATTATAGCGATGGCGAAATCGATAAAAATGATAATCCAAATCACGGCATGAGAGGTGACGATGATGGATCGCAAGCTGGATCGGGCGATGATGATGTTTTTATTCAAGCAGCAGCTATTGCTGGTGATTTAAATAATGAATCGGCTGCAGGAAAATATCATGTCGTCGATGAAAATGGAGCAGTTAATGTAAGAAATTATTGTTATTTTCATTCCATATTTTATAGAAAATCTATTCAAAAACATCTATAAAATTGATTGACAAAATATTAATATTCATCTAGGTATCAAACATATAGAATAATAGCGAAAATATCGAACACATGATAAATTTGAAAGAATCTTAGTTTTTCCAAAACCTCGATCAAAGCACTTTGAACAATTCTACACGTATACTTATTCGAATTCAACAGAGAAAATGCCATCAAGAGCAAATTAGTTTTCATTAATCTATATTTCATGTTGTATAATTTAGCGAAAGATTCGTCACAGAATTAGTCGACGTAATCATGGCAAAACTCCCGATAATCGTCCTCATCGTAAAGGTATGGATAATCCATCGTTTCAACATGATGAATCTCAACATGGTATTGAACGTATCACATCACCAAAACGAAACCGAAAAATACGATCGAGTATATTCATTGGCTTCTTTCAAAATTCAATAATAAAATGTTGTTGCTGTTTTTTTTCTATTATCAAATTTCAGGTGCAAGTCCATCGAAAAAACCTCCACGCAATGCTAAAAGTCGTGCACATAGTGAAAATCGCCATCTCAACCCTCATATACGCCCCCCACAACAACCAGAAGCATCTGTTTTAACAACTACTCAAGGTGGAGCTTCTGCTAATCATCAACCATCGTCACACCATCAACGTCGTACACATTATAATAAAAAATTGCAAAAGAAAAATTCCCTTGATGCCAATTTTCGTCGTCGTGTCGAAAAATTAAAAGAAGCTACAAGTTCAACAGAACTTGATATGAAATTACTTGATAAAAAGATGACTAAAGTTTTGTTCAATATGCATGGTGTTCCAGTTGGACCCAATGTTTTATAAGAACAAAACAAAATGAAAATCTCAGTAAACTAATAACAACAAGAAAAATGAAATTGTCCGCTATCATCATTTGCTATTTTAATTGGTCGCGTGTGAGTGTGTCACATTGAATTAACACATGTTCAGTACACATCGTCAAGGTTTGTGTGATCATATGACGATCGGACTAACTTCTTTGTGAGCACACGAACGACATTCCTCTTCTTTTTTTTTTGTTGTCCTTTGTTTGGCTAAATGATGATTTTGCGCTCATATGTATATATGATTTTAATTTGTTTTGAATGAGAGAATACGACCCTTATAAATAAATAAATAAATAAAATATATCATAAATCAATCTATCATAAAGTAAAGGATTATTCTCTTTTTCTTTTTCTTTAATTATTTGCATGATTAATAAAATTAGTCTGATCATCGTACGGAATCTTTTGTGTGAGTTTTAATCTGGCGGCGAGAGCCAATATACAGCACCTGTCTACTCAAGAAAAGCCGATTGAAGTTAAAACGTGTGTGTGTGTGTGTATGTGCACTCAGTTAATAGTAAGCTTTCAACTGTTAATAATCTTCTTTGTGAACGTATTTTGTACAAAACAATACAAATGGATTCTAGTCTGACAACGAAAATATATATAAATATAGGATATTCATGCTTGAGGCATCATTTAGTGTTTTGAAGCGATAACATAAATTTGTTCTGGTCGATTTTAAAAGAAAATTTATTATTCTTCTTAATACAAAGACGAATCACCTGTTTAGAAAAATAAAATCTTCTCAATAGTTTAGGTCATAACTTATAATCTTTAAAAAAGAACAGAGACATTTCGCTCAGGGTGCCGATCATGGGATAATGATGATGTCATGGTTTGTTATTTGCTATCGTCTTCGATGTTAATCATGTTGAATATTGATTTCATTAGTTTTCTTCTCTTTTTAAGTTTACATATTATCCACACTTGAAAATATCCGTCTATTAAACAATAGTTTAAGTTGTTGTTGTTTTCATACGAACTCCCATATTAGTTCCAAACATTTGAAGTTTGAATACTTGAACGTACACATATGTATATGTCACGTTTTTGTTCACTTGATTGAATCGAATGAAATTGAACGAATAAAAAAAGTACGAGGAGAGAGAAAAAAACCAACTGAACTGAACTGTACATTAGACGCGCCGTATTATACCTCTTAATTTGTTCACATCGTTGCGGTGCCGTCAAATGATGGAGAAATTCCCGATGACATTTATATTTATTTCAATAGCGACAGAAAATAAAATAAATGTGTCTAAGAGTATGTATTCACATAATGCTTATATCGTTATTCAATTGAAAGTAAATCAGGTTGGTATGTTATAATTAACTTTTATTGAATATATATGAAAACTGAGAAATTTCATTCGATATTTGAAATGAAGACGAAGAAGAAGAAAAGACTTTCTATATACGTATATATTAATTTATATTCATCCAATAGCTAGGGTTTCATTAGAGAATTTCATTTCAAATATGTACATATCTTTTTTTTCTTAACAGATCAACGTATATTATTGTCTTTAAACTAGTTCTAAGGTTTCGTTTTAGTCATCGTTCAAAATTAATTTGTACCAATAAGACTTCTATGAGTCGTGCTTATCCATATATGATCACTTTTTTTCTTGTTAAAATGAATTTGTATGTATAAGATGTTGACATACATACATACAGAAAGTTCAATCGTATTGAATTTATTCACGGGAATGACTTTCACTTGTCTGTTAGTCTTGTTGATTGAACAACAGTCGTTCGGATGACGATGCCGACATCATAGACATTTTGTATTCCATTTTCTTATTTATAATATTGAAAATTCATAAATGTTCTAAAGTGATTGAATTCGAAATCACGTTTGTCAAACAATGCATGTTCGCGGTTTTTTGTTTCTATGCATTGTAAGCACCTAATAATTGTTCTTAATCAAAAGATCTCACTTTCTTTTATGCAGTCAATTGACTCTTTCCGCATTATTTCAAAGAACGAATATGAGAAAAAAAGAACAGTAGGGGTGCTATATTTTCTTCACTCACTCTCTCTCTCTCTCTCTTCGCACTTTATCTAAATCTCGTTTGACATACAATTTAATCAACTGTACATGAAGCTCATTGTCTAAAGAAGTACTTATAGCTTTTTTACTACTCTTATGTAGATGAACAATTGCTTCCGTTTATCATACTCCAACTGAAGAAAACAATAGAGAAAAGGAGAATGGATACATAATAATCGACATCTGATTAGAATGTTGGCCTTCTTACGTCAAGATGCCTCGAGGCATCTTTTTCTGTTAAAACAATTGTATGTGTGTGTATGTTCAAACACACACACACACATATATACATATTATCTATTTGATGCCTCGCAGCCCTGTCCTTCTATCATAGTCTATCTCTTATCAGCTTCAGTCGGCGCATTCTCAGGAAAAAAGAAGTAATGAAATCTTTAAGGTGCAAATAAATGCTGCGTATAAAATAACAATTCTTTTTTCTCTCTCTCTCTCTCCTTCTTCTTTTCTCAACTAAATGCTGTCTATGGAATGTATGAGATGGCGCGTCGGCGTCGGCATCGATGTATGAAATATGAAGACACTGTGTACGGTACCACATTTTTGATCATTAGACGTTTTCTCTTTTTTTAATGTCTAAGATGAAATTTAATACAATTGGCCTAAAAAAAGTATTCGTGCGTGTTTAATATTGTGTAATAGTGTTGTTATTATTCCATATATATATTTCCCTTGCTAATGAGAAGATGACCGCTAGACGAAGACTGACTACCGGTAATTAACAGTAACGTACATATACACAGAAAAAAACGGGAAATCACGTCTGACATTGTGTATATGTATATATGTATGCATGTGTTCTGTTAAAACAATCACCATTCATAGGATATAAATCATTGTTGAAACAGAAGACGCAGTGAGAGAGATTGAGATGGTGATTTTAGTCACGTACAAAACGTGCGACTCATTTATTTCAATGAACTTCAACATGGTTTACTGTTAGTGGAACAAAAATGTACAAACGTTTTTTTTCTCTTCTTGAGTCTCCTGAAAGAGAGTGACACAAAAAAGGTATATCCTCTTCGTATTCTTTTCTTTTTTCTTCTGTCGCTCGCTCGCTCGTCTCTTCTCTTATTCTCTATTCAGCAATGACCATCATTGGTAGTTGTCCGATATAGAGAAGAGAAAGAGTTCCGTGTAAAAACATTTGCTAACTATACATACACATTAACATTGCAAGAAAGAGAGAGAGAGAGAGAGCGCAAAAATATCTACACATATTGTCGTTCGTCGAGTGAAGGTGAAATAAAATGACATTATCAACAACTTATGTGAAGTCATTTTGTAATTGATATTTTACGTATGTATCATATTTTTGTTTTGTTCTAGATGTATTTCATATTATTCATTTTGTTCAATAACTTTCTATTTATTCATCCAACTTCTATTGAACGAATAAAAGTCCGTGAAAATGTTAACGTAACAATGACATGTCGCTTTAATTCGGGACAACATTTATTAACAACAAATTATTTAACATCTGTTCCATCTTTAGCATCGTTTAATAAAATATTCGATAATAATTACTCGGGTAATATTATCCTTTTCTATAAAGATGATATACAAGTTATTGGTGTTCATACAACATCCAATGATCCACAAAAATATTTAATTCGACGAGACAATTTCTTTACATATCAATTGACGGTACTTAATGTACAATTAGAATCTTCCGGATTATATAAATGTCAAAATTTTACAGCAAAAGAAGAAAATCTTTTTCAACTTAACGTTATGGGTATGTTTAGAATGCAATATAATATAGTTGGAAACAAAACAAGAACGAGTGTTTAGTATCTAAGATTAATCTTTTTTTGACCCAACGACGTATGTGTCTGTTATTATTAGAATATGTCAAGCAAACCGTTGCCAGTAGAGCCGATATGTTAATTCTTGCATAATATATCTGACAACATCCAAACATCGAGATATCAGCATGAGTATAGTAGAAACAAAAAAAAGACTACTGTTTTCACGCTTCTATTACAGCATATATATATATATATACATACATCAAGCAGCTGTACAAAGTTCCGGAAAATCAATCTTTTCTTTACTATCATTGATAGACAAATCTAGAATGAATCTTATTCTCAGCTTGATATATATGTTGACATTTTTTGTGACTCAGTAATTATTCTCATAGATGATGTAATAATCTAAAAAGAAAAGAGTCGAGACAGTAGGAGTAATTTTGAAGATGAACGACTCGTGCGTGAATCATGAATATAATTACCAACTATTATTTCATCCGCATGAGAGAATTTTTTAGTTAAAGTTCATGTTCATTGAGCTACATGTATCCTAGTCAAGAGTCAATCGTGAGATCAAGGCAAGCATCTGCTGCACATGGGTACCTCATAGACGAAAGGCAATGAATGAGGATGTCAATGAGGTTAATCATCAATCATTTTCCCATTGAGAACAAAACTCGTTAATTTGTGTGAGTATCTACAAGTATGCATGTTTAATAGAAGATAATATTCTTTACTTCCTCATTGCTGGTAAAGGTTACAAGAATGAAAATTCTCTCTGGAAGCAGGAAAAGAAAACAAGAACAGTCGTACAATCAATTATGATAGACACAGAGCATGTCTGTTCAATGTAGGATATAAATGAAAGATGACAAAGGATAATCAATTTACTCTTTCTTCTGTAAATCAGATAAATACAAAAGATATAAAGATGAGAGGTTACTCTCACTATAATCTGATCGAGTTTTTCTCTCATTTTCTTTTCCTTTTCTTTTTTTGAAACACTAATTAATATGAAAATGTCTAAATTTGACAAATAAATACAAAACAATTAGCCATCATCGCTTCATTGTCTATTATTTATCTGTCATCCGACAGGAAAGATGAACATTCATTAGTTACTCTGGACAATAGAAGAGAAACGAAAAAAAAAAACGAACACACCTTGAAATAATTACAGACAATTGAACAGGACGTGTTTCGCATGTTGGTTAGCCGCTTTAGCCTACGGGTATTGAATACAAGATATGTCACACCCCCGCCTTCAATATAGACAATATGTGTGTGTGTGTGGGTACGCGTACATGAAAATATTTGTCAATCACTAACGAATAGAAACAGGAAAAGAAGGTGTTGTCAATATATAGACAATCTATTGACACCAATACGGCGAAAGTAATCAGATCAACATGTGAAAAAAACATTTTTTCTTGAAATTTTTTAGTTCCACCTTCTCGCCTTCGTTTGAGTCCATCGCCGTCGTTACCTGTCGCTGATGGAACATCCGTTTTATTCAATTGCACTAGTGACCGGGCTTATCCAATACCAACATTTGAATGGTATAAAAATGATAAATTAATTCAGCGGTATGTATAAAAATCGAAATGTTATTCTTTTCTTTTCATCAGTCTTAATGGAATTATTATTCGTTTCTTTTTAGTTCAATCGGTACGAGTATTCACAATGAAACAAATACACCAAGCTTTTCAAGTTCATCTCTTTTAACACTTGTTCTTTCACCTTTTGATCATGATCATGTACTACGTTGTCAAGTAACTAATGAAGCGAGCATTCATGATACAAATGTTGAACTTAAACTCGATGTTTTCTGTGAGTAGTAGACACATACAGAATATTTATTAAAAGCTACTTGACTAGTTTGTTTGATCGGCCGACTGACACTATTCTTGTTTTTTTGTTTTTTTTTTGTTAGTTAAACCCATTATCAATATATCTTGGAATCAAAAACAATCACCAACAACACTTACTGTAATTGAGGATACTATTGAAACAATAGATTGTATAGTATCAGCTAATCCATCAGCAATGGCAAATATTGAATGGTTTAAAAATGACCAATTAATTAGAGGTAAGATATAGTCGAATAGTGTTTTATTTTTTCAAGAGTTTTAATTATATGTTCGCTTGATTTTATTGTAGGAGAAAATCAAGAGCAATTAAAAATTAATTTTAGTCGAATGGAAAATGTACAAAAATTAAGTTGTCGAGCAAGAAATACCATCGGACAATCTGAAGCAACTGTCAATGTTGATATTCTATGTAAGTTAAAGAGAAGCTAATCTCGTTTTTAAAAGGCAAGGAGAAACGAAGTTTTTTAAAAATAATTAGATAAACCAAAATTATCAATGGCGGATCGTATGACATTGAATCAAGGTGAAAAACTTATTTTAAAATGTTCTATTGATTCAAATCCGTTTTGTCATCAAATTCAATGGTTTCATAATGATAAATTAATACATACACAAGCATGTTCATTAATAAATCGAACATATACAATAGTTGAATATACTATTCCAAATGTTTATCGAATACATTCAGGAAAATATACGTGTGAAGTTAAAAATTGGCTTAATACCGGCTTTGATAATCGCCGTGAAGCTACAACACAAATATCAACTGATGTTCGAATACAATGTAAGGATTTATTCACTCGAGCGAAAAATAGTCAATACTCTTTGAAAGAACAGCTTGACGTTAGGCAACAAAGACTATTCTAATAGGAACATTTATAGGCAACCGATGAAATATAAATCTATATTGCCATTTATGATAATCGAAAAAAAGATAAGTTGAAGGAGAAAAGCAGATGAAGACTTTGTTAGCTAACACTAAATGACTTATTATCTTGATGTTCTCGATGATAGATTTCTCGGTTATGTCAACTGTTTTATGTCACCTGGATCTGTTCCCTGCTAGCTGAAAATAGATTCGATGACAAAACTTAATGATTCAATTTGCGGCATAATCTATCGAGTGTAGAAAATGAAAGTAAAAATAGTTTGACTAATCAAACATCTGGAATAGACAGGAGGGAGCAACTATCGTGTCTATTAGGACATGTGACTCATGACATTTAGTGGAAGTTTAACACGAACAGTTAAGAACATTGATCCTAATGAAAAATGATGACGCAACTAAAGATTAAGTCGATGCTACAGCTACTGAATCGAGTCACATCGTCTGTTCATTAAAAGAATCAAAGTCATTTATAAAATTTCATTTCATTTATATTTTAAATATTTATTTGATTTAGATGCTCCATTTATTTTAAATTCAATTAAAAAATTAGCTATTCAAGAGAATCGTGATATAAAAACAGAATGCTTGGTTGATGCGTATCCAAAAGGTGATATAGTATGGTTTGGACCGAGCAGTCAACGATTAAGTTCATTTACGGAAGAAAAAATTCTTAATGCAACAGTGATTTCATCAATATTACATTGTGAGTTTAATAATTCTTCTATGAATTTAACTAAATTATTTATTGTCGTTTTTTGTTAGTACCGCCATCTTATCCATCAAAATTTGGTTTATTTCGATGTTTAGCTAAAAATGAATTTGGTCAACATGATTTTTCAATAAATTTTCAACCGCCAGGTTTACCCGATCCACCAAATCAATTGCAAGCAATAAATGTAACTCATTCGTCATTTATTCTTACTTGGCAAACAGCTTACAATGGTGGCTCAAATTTAATCTATCATATTAGTCTTAATGGTAATCGTACAGAAGAAAGACAAACAACTTTAAATTCAATAAGATTTACCGGTAAGTTTAACTCTGATGTTTCATCGTAATTTCTATATCTGGCTTATGTTTAGATCTGCATGAAAAATCTCGGTATTATGCAAAAATTCGTACGAAAAATGATCATGGCTTTAGTGATTATTCAAGTACATTGGTTATTATAACCAATGAATATCCATTTCATGCCGAAGAATTTCCTCGGATTGAACGTGCTTCTTATACAACTGATGGTCGTCGAATACATTTTGACTTGAGTCAACCACGTTCATCATCGATTTCGAGAGATCAATTATGTCTACAACATTATCATATGACATTTTCAAGTATTGAAACTACAAATGATTTACCATCTTGTATTCCATTGAATTCTTTACAACAATCAAACAATGAAATTGAAATAGCAATTGATCAAGCGAATATACATTTAAAATTGTGTTTAATAAATCAAACTGATATTTGTACAAAATCTATACCAATACCGACTGGTGTAGCTCTATCGAATGATTCATCGGAATTAGTTTTAATTCTAATTGGTAAAAATAAGATCATATGGCATTAAAAAAGAATAATATAACATATTTTTGTTTTATCAATTTCAGGAGCTATATTAGGTTTGTGTGCTGTTGCTGCATTAATTGGACTATTTATTTGTATACAACAACGACGACGTAGAAGAAAATCTAAACATTCTTCAATGGAAACCATAAAATCAAGTTCAAATGGGCATCAAACAGATAATTTTCATGCAACACCTGTACGAGTTGTTGATACGAATGCTTGTTTGTATTATCCAGCACAAACTTCAACAGTCAATGAAAGTATGTGAAGATCTTTTTTGTTTTTATCAATTAAAATTTATTTGATTTTTTTTCAGTGCGACCGAACGGAACACTGTTGTATAATTCAGAAATGCCCAATGGTATATATTCAATTCAAGGTGAGTAAATAAAAATAAAAAATGACAAAAAAAACAAAACCGGAATTAAAATGAAAACCTATATGTGCATGTCAAATTTTACCATTCCATATCAGGTCCAACCAAAATGACAATAAGAACAGGTTTTGCAAAAGTGAAACGAGGCTTGAAAGCCTGTTAGTATGATTGTCCACACTGCTATCCGTATGTGTGCTTGTTTAATTTATCACGAAAACACATCGATTTACTTACTACTTTTCTCACATTTCCATGTCGAAGAATATCTTCTTGCATTGGAAATTCATTGATTTTTCTCTACTAATTCTTTCGAACGAAACGATATTATTTAATGATTAACTAAAATTTTCTCTCCTGCATATTTAGAAAAGAAAAATTCTATGTGTTTTGATTCCGGTATGCCATCGACAACTTCAAATAATTCAGATTCGGCTTGTTCACAAGCATTTTCATCATCGGATATTGACGGACAAATAATGAATGCCTATTTTGATCGTTCCGACGGTGAACTTCTTGTTAATGGACGATTAATGGCAAAAAATAATCATTTACCTGATATACAACAATTATTTTTAACGAAATATAATGGAGCAACTGATATACCATCATATAAAATTGCGACTCGAGAAGATAATCATTTAAATTTAACATCACATGGTAGAATATCATCCGAAGAAGAAAGTGGTTTTTCTACTCCAACAAAATCTCATAACGGGAAAAAGCTTGTCTACGAAGTTGTTGTGTGAATTTTTTGTTTTCTTTCTTTTTTTCTTTTAAATATATTTATACATAGTGTATTTCATTTCTTTATATATATATATATATGCATATATATATAATTACATGAATATATATCCTTGATTTGTTTGTGTGTACTTTCCGCATAATGATCCTTCGAAGTTTCCTTTGTTTCAGGTTGCGTTTTTATAAAAAATAAAATAGGAAAGAAATGAATTTGATTTTTGTTTTCAAAGGCAAAATTTCTTCTTTTTTCCTTCTTCGTTCGTTTCATCTAAATATTGATTGTATGCAATACAATATGACTCGATTTATATTGTTAATAAGAAGCACTTGAAAAAAAGATTAGATTTTTTTTCTCGTTCGTTAATATGTTTTCTACAAGCAACCATTTTGTACAATATTTCTATTGTAATGGACGAAGAAAAAGACCAGGATGGTGATGATGATGGATGGAAAACAATTAAACCGGATGTTATCCTATTTGAAACATCGATTGGGTAGGTCTGATATTTGATAGTTGCTATTTTAACTTAGACAACGACGTTCGTTTATGTTCTAATTGGCTTCTATGGTTTGTACACAGTAGATATTTCCTATGGTTTCAATTGCTGATCATGTTTGATTATGAGAGGCTTCTTGCCATCTAATTTAATAATCATATTCAGAGATTGCAATTTTATTAATAGCCTATAGAGAGGAGAAAAAAAATATTATATTCATCATTTTAAATAAACAATCTTCAGCATAGTATTAGGGTTTTTTTTTTCTATTTGAGAAACAAGAATCGCAAAAAGAGCAGCATAAAAGATTTGTACTTCGTCGTTTTTGCTACTCATACAATCATTAGAACATATTTATCGCTACTTGTGATTAGTAGGATACACGGCAGTGTCAACATCTTCAAAACAATCGCTTTTTTTTCTGTCGCTATTTTTGAAACACTCAGCACATTACAACCTAGATATATAAACGAAACATTCAATCTCATGAGCACCGTATTAAAGAAAAGGTTTTCATGCAACTTGCATTTTTTAAACATATCTTTATCGATGATTTCTACTAGGAGCCTTGAAAAGCCCATACCTCATCCAATTTTGGATGATCCATCGAAAATGATGAGAATTATAGGCAAGTTAATTTGTTTTAATATTTCATAAATAATCAATTCTTTATTTTATCAGCCAATCCAGTCTATGATAAATTAACTTTTTCACGTGCAGTTAATATGCGCAAAGTTACTTCTACTCATCAACAATCACCCCAATTGAATAGACCAAAACAAAAAACTCTGAATACGCGATCTAAATCTACTGATACTTCACACACTGACATAACGGTAAATTCAAATTCTTTTTTGCAAAATTAAATTTTTGAAAGTAGAATTCAGTAATATTGAAAAAATTGATTATAAAATCCCGCGAAGAATTAATATACATCGAATTAAAGCTAGAATCGTTGACATAACCATTAAAAATTATTTTTCTAAACTAGAAAAAACTTCCCATAAAATAAATAAAAAAATATTCTTCTTGAATATAAATGGATTAAATAAATAGCGATTCAATTTGTTAACGTTTCGTGTTTGTAACAATAAAAAATGAGTAAAAAAGTTCGTTTTGACATTCATTTAACGAACTTTGATGTGTATAGTTACTTGTTAAATTGACTACAATGAACTTTTAAAGGTCACTTAATCCTGTTTACCATGAGTCAGACATACATTGGTTTTCATCCCATTAGGTTTGTCTATTGTTGAATGATAAATATCAAGAGAGTAAATTTTGTAGAAAAATATGCATAACACTTTCAAAGTTTTCTATCTTATAATTTATAGAAATTTTAGGAATTATAAATATTCAAATTTACTTTGTTTGTTTTCTCTTATCAACATGAAAATGAAATCGCTTTTTATAAATAACGAATTCTATGAAGTTCTTTATAAAAATAGGCTCTACCCAATCCATCAGAATTAAATATTAGTAAAGTGGAGTCAAATATATCATTTACTCGTCGAGGTGCTGCTGCTGCTGCTGCTGCACCGCCACCCTTTTGTCTTCCAACACCACCACCAGCAAAACTAATAGAAGCACAAATTCTTTCTTCAACTACTTCGCGTTCTCGTGCTAAAACTCCTCGAACAAATACACAAACACTTCAAGCAGCATTAACTGAAAACAATAAAGATGTTAAAAAGCCAATAGCTGATGGCACAGTTCGTTACGTAAACAGTCGTCATGGTTTTGAAGTTCAACGTTACTCATCATCGAATTGGTTAGCAGTTGATGTATACACAAAAGATGCTTGTCAATCGCACGAAAAAACTTTCCGTGAAATGCTCGATAAAAAACGTCAATATGAACGTTTATCACGTAGTATTTATTCATCGGAATATTATACTCAACGATGGGACGAATTACTAAAATCATACAAACAAGGCCATTTAACACATGCCGAATGGGCCCAGCAAAACTATCAATTATTTTGTTTGAAAACTTTATATTCTCAAGCAATCAAACGGGAACAAACTCATATTGAGGCATTTGTGGGTAATTCACGACGCGATCGGGCTAAAAGCGCATTTAAAGAATGGAAAGAAACAAAATCCGATGACAATCCTCAACATCAAACTCGTTTAACTACAGCTCGTAGTCATCGGACAACAGAAGCAGCGTCATCATCTTTTCTATCAACGACTTCATTTCCAAATTCATCATCAAAGACAGGTGATCAAAATCATACCACATCATCGGATAGAAGCCATCGGCTATCAATGTCAACCAATACAGATAGTGAACTTCAACGAATACCAAATAATCAACCTAAAAATTCTTCACAGAATACATCAAATATGTCATCATCATCGTCATCGTCGTCGTCGTCGTCAACAACATCGTATGTATTCGATGAACAACGTTGGTCGTTACACGCTATGCTCAAACGTGTTGTTGGACTTGCTGAACCATTAAAACAACCGTCAACTGTTACTAAACGTAAACATTCACCTATGACAAATGCAAGCAATGATAGTGGTTTTGAATCTATTTCATAAAAGACTTTTTTCTTTACAAATGTTTTTTTTTGTTATTATGAAAATTATCAGCGTTCTATAAAAAAATAAACGAAATTAAACATACAATCTTCCTTTGGTTATGTTTTTCAAGCCAATGAATATTTTAAGTTTTCCTATCTTTTCAATTAATTTATTAGTTCTCTAATGGCATGAAAATCTTCTCTTCTTCGCTATGATAATAATAAAAATAGAATAAACGTTCATCTTGGAATATTTTTATTTTCCTGGTGTGACATATGCTGTAATGAACTCGCTATTTTTTTTCTTTCGAGTTCAGTATCTCGGTAGTCATGATGACGGTCTGAGAAAAAAAAATTTTTTTTTTCTTTGAGGAAAGAAAATCTACTTGATAGTTGTAGTCATTGTCATTAAGTTTTTGTATGTAAAACAAGCTGTCAATGAAACTTTGGTGGTATTCAGCTGGTAATATTGTTTACATCATAGGTTCATTAGGTTATCTTGCTATACATACAATCAATCTTATCTTTCCAAATACGGGCAATTCACAAGCTAGTTGCATTATTTTAATTATTCTAGCTTCAGTTTTCGTCCTGGATGCTATGCTGTATGCAGTTGATTGGTTTGAACAGCGTAGAATAAAAAAACTACAGGAATTACTTGTTTGCATATTTAATATTATTGGTAGTGTCTTGTATTTAATCGGTGCAATTACTTTAGATAATAAGAAAACGCCTGCAAATAATTCTATTGATTTAACTAATTTACCAACGTTTCTATTTAGTACCGCCGGAATATTAGTATTTCTTATTGAATCGATTCTTAATTTTTTTACACCGCGAGTTTCGAAAACAACATCGAAATGTTCGGTAGAATTTTTTGCTCATTTACTCAATCTTTTGGGTAACATAACTTATTTATTTGCACAATTCGTTCAACCAGTTATATCATTTATTGCAAGTTTTACTACTGCATATTTCAATAACCTAACTGATTTAATTAATTTTATTATTCGTCCAATACACATCGGTGGTGATATTATTTATACCATTGATGCTCTATTGTATATGATTGTTTGGATTAAAGCAAATCAACATATGCGGAAAATTGGCACTCAATGTGTAGAACGAGATGATCTAAAAATGGATGATATTACGAAAACAACGAAGCCAAATGTAAGACCACCAGAACTAATAGATGATCATGGACAATACATATCAAATAATCTATCCGTAAAAACAATATCCAAACAAACATCAAAACCAGTTGTTGAGGATGTAGAAAACTAAATGTACCTAGTATTATTTCTACAATTTATTGAAAATTTCAATTCTGTTTATTGAATAATTATCTATGAATTAGTTTTTAAATATAAATAAATGTGGAAACTTCGGATTTCATCCGAGAGTTATGTGTACTGCAAAAAGTGCATGGGACATATGAGTCATTCTAGAATGTCTGAACACCAAAATTATCACGAGATACTAGGCAATTCGATTTCTGGATGCAGCTTTTGTGCATTTTGAGACGTTTTTCAGGCGATGTTTCGTTAGAAAGCTACGATTTAGTTCAAAACTAATATCAGATTTAGAATCAGCGTTAAAAACTGAGTCGATTTATATATGTTGTGGATAATTCTGAAAAAAAAAAGTTTTTTTGAAAAATCCCTGTACTCCCCCTCAGGGATGGTCTGATCAAAAATGACAATTTTTTCGATAGCTCCGCCATTTCTTGACGGATCCTTCTCATCTTCGAACTCGACCTAGATATTGATGAGACAATTCTGCGCACTAAATTTCAGCTCAATCGAATGTAATTGTGAAGAGTTATCGAATAAACGGACGGCCGGACGGCTGGACACACTGACTGATTCTATAGTGTACTCTTTATTTTTTGAGTACACAATAATAACTTCTAAAATGAAATCTTAATTTGTTGCCTAGACAAAAACCAGTCTATTAAATTATCCATATGATCTAAATAAACCGTCTAGTTATCTATATCATATTTGTTAATCATTCATATCATAAACAATAATAATACAAATAAACGATGTTTTCTTTACTTTCTGCTAATAATTTTAGCTCACATGTATTTATTTCATTGGTTTTGATTGATTGATATCGTTAGAAATCGAACATATAGGACACACATACTGTATAAAGCAAATATTAAAACCTTGTATTTTTTGTTATGATGAAATGTATCGTGTAGTAAATAGGTTACATTTGCCTGTTCTATTTTGTTAGTAATTAGTTTTAGATACCATCGACTTGATTTTTGTTTTCTTATTAATCAAAATTATGTAACCTTTCGTTCTTTTTTTGCACAAATCAGTTTCTTTTTTGATTGTTTTAAACACAAGTATCTATAATCGATCTGCACGCAAAGATCAACAAGTCGAAACTAACAAGAGTTTATCTAAGTTTACATCATTGTATGCTGCTCTATATTCTGATTCCTGAGTTTGGATAAAAGAAAAACATCAATTTATTGTCATCATTTGACACATGGTTAGATGCATTGAACTGATTTGTTTTGTTCGTATGAGATAATAAGTGAAGCAAGAGACAAGCTAATTTACATACAATTTGCCACTTTTGGTGTATCAATATTATTGGTTAAATAAGTATATCAAAAGAAGACCTTGCCAGCGGATTCAGTAAGCTAGTGTTTATGAAAATAAACTTCTTTTGAGGTTACTAAAAACGCATGTACTCATTGTTGACTGACTGGTCGGTTTTTATCTATCAACAAATAAAAAAATCGTATTCTTATTGAATTTGTCAGTTTTCCACAAGTATTGCTCAAGTGGCTTGACTACTTTTATTTTTCTATAGGTCTTCTTATTTATTTGTCATATCACTCCATAGAAATCGTATTCTCTCTCTTGATCATTCATATATACACAATCGAACACCATCTTCTTTCTCTCTATTTAACTGAATGTGCATGTCTTTCATAGTAACTAAAGTGTCTTTGTGTGTATGCACATATGCTTTCTTAATATTCAAACGCAACCATCATCGATCATAATTTTTTTTTTCTACATCATCTATATTTATATTATAAAGAAAGAGAAAAAAACCATGAGTTGTCGACTTTATTCGATCAAATAAACCTGTAATCAGACATTCGGTATTAATGCCTTTCTTTCTTTTTGTCTCGTTCGTTTTCTAACCGCTCATACACGCTTAGACCATATGTATATTGTCGAATGTTTCTTAGATGATATAATTTAGTAGGAAATGATAAGAAATGTTAGTAAACCCTTGAAAACACCTGCGTATTCATCATAAGACGATCGTTTTTGTTATATTTTTCGATACGTAACGATGTTGTATACACTTGAATATAGATATTAATTATATGCTATGAAAAACAAACAAACACTCAATCATCTGTTGGCATTAAAATAGTAAATGCAACATATCTTTGTTCTTCTAGTCTTTAGAATTCCTTTTGTACAAAAGCAGATCTATTTTCTATGTTTTTATTCTAATCATTCTTGATAACTAGATTCTTCTACCGAGTTGATTTCTATTACAGCTGCTGACGCTTGCTGCTCGTGCCTTAGGAGTGTGACATTTGTAATTTATCCTTTGACTATTTCTGATTGCTTCCCACACCAAAACTAGCAACAACACGAAGTCGAGACAGATTAGCTTTGTTATCAATTTTTCACGGTGTGCTTGTCTCTAGAATCGATTGCATGAAGAAAAATGGTGCCTAAGTACTCATGATCCAGATTGATGGACTTATATCCAATTAAGTCTTCTGTTCCTGCTCTTTCTTCTTTTTTTGATATCGTTTAAGTTGTTTTTCTTTGAGAGCATTTGCTAGCGATATTGATTGATAAAGGATAGATTAAGATCTGGACGCTTTATGTACTAACTGCGAATACCGATGGTGATGATGTGACACGCTTCGCTGTTATCTGTCTTAACATTGCATGCGCACTAATTGTCAATGAGACGAGCACGAGTATGCGTCTATTTGTGAGTATATATATATATATACGCGTGCATTAATATGTGTTACGAGGAGAAAAAGAAAAACGAGGTTCCGATTTCTTCATTGATTTATGCTCACTGGTTTGTAGAATAAGATTTAAATGGCGAAAAATCAACAATGTAATGAGAGATCTTGCTTATTGATCCATTTCTTTTTTACGCGTATAACAAAAAAGAAAAGTCATGATGAGTATAACACCTTCAGAGCGACTTGAAAATGATGTTAGTTATATGATCGGTGAATCGGTTTATTGTGTGCGTGTGTGCCTTGTTGTTGTTATTGTTGTACACAATGGCTAAGAAAATATTATTTGTTTTGAATTCCTTTTCAGGTACGAACCTAAATGGTAGGGCTAACTCCTATAGTTAGATAGAATTTATCTATTGTCATTTCTTGTTTATCTGTCATTGTTAATGTTATGTTTATATCTGATTATTGTTGTCTTTCATACCATTCACCACAGGGACCATTTTTTTCCTGTTCACTAGTTCCTCTTTCTTTTCTCTTTCTTTGTTTTTCGTATGTTGTCGATTGAGTTTCGCTTACATTTCTTTTTTTTTTATATAGTCAAACAAACCACACACACACACACACACACGCACACGTATATATATATACACACATGAAAAGGCACTTATTGGAGATGTTTGCTGGAGGGCTTGCGGAAAGAATGAGTACGCAGAAGAACAGAAAATATCTACATCTTCTTCTCTTGACTTCTTCTTGATAGTGTTGTATGATGCAGAACATGTACACAAATGAGTTATGTGCACTAATATAGTGCACAGAGCGAAAAAGAGTATATCAATCTTTTTTTTTCATGAATACATGCATATACACTAGTCCTTTTTCTTCTTCTTCATTTTACGGTCTAATTGCAAAAAAGACTGCAACTTAATAAATCAGGTGAAAAGTCATAGTCTTGATTTGTTAATTAAATTTATTTATGTGATGTGTCAAAGTAAGTTGAGGTGGCCAAAAGAGAAAAAGTATATTACCTGCATTTTGGTTATTCTGTGCTAAAAAATTTCTTTTTGGGCGAATAAGAATTATAAAAATTGATTTGGAACTCATTCTACACTACTTTCCACGCTTACTATTAAGATGATAATTTTGTTTTTAAAGATTAGAAAAAAATTCATATGACAACAGGAAAATCAATGCATACTACACGTTATGATACATCATCACGTCTCCATATTATTGTCTTATATTTACTTATTGCTAGTCTTACGATAGCATGGGGCATTTATTTTGTTCATTTCTCTCGAAATGTTCTAACACATATGGAATCAACGTATGCAGAATTAAATGTTATTAAAGAACGATTAGAATCAGTTGAATCTACACAGATAACAGTTTCAGCAAATGTAAATGGATTCGATTCATTACGTCGTCAAGCGAGATATGCACGTATGAGAACAAAATCAAGTATTAATAAGCAGCAACAACAAAAGCAGGATTATCAAGAACAACAAGAATCAAATTCAGATTTTGTTGGTTCTATTCATTTTAAAGTGCCGGTAAGAAGCGATGTTTCGATTAAATATTGGGGTGCAACTGAAACACATATTGTCAATTAATTTTAGCCAGTAGCGATGACAACATTTTGCGTAAAATCAGTTGATCATTGTAAAAGATTAGTCGCTGAAAATGAAGGTAAATTATATTAAATATTCTGGTATTGCTATCTCTATGTATTTAATTTGTTTTGTTTTTAGAATTGCGAGGTCCAAAAGGTGAACAAGGAATACGTGGTTATTCAGGTTTACCTGGTATGCCTGGTGCTATGGGACCACCGGGACCACAAGGTAAGATAATTATCAGAATAAATTGACATTTTTTCTATTAAAACTCTATATCAAAGGACCAACTGGCGCAATTGGTTTCGCCGGACCAACAGGTCCTCAAGGACCAAAAGGTGATCGCGGAGAATCTGTTCGAGGCGAACACGGTATGTTATTCAGAGAGGAATAATCAGAACAATAATATTTATCAAATCTTTCGTTTTAAGGTCCTCCCGGTCCCATGGGCCCACCAGGATTTCCAGGACCGCGTGGTGAAATGGGTCTTCGTGGTACACCGGTAAGGCTATTTATAAAAATGTTTTGATTGAACCTAAACTTATTATTATTTTTTTGATGAAATTAGGGTGTTTGTACATGTCCTTCACCACAAGTATCTCTTCAACCATCATCATCATCATCACTAGCATTTTTGCCAAGTGCATCAGGTTCAGATCAAAAACAAGGTGCGTGTAATTAGCTTTTTAAAAGATCATTCATTAGTTTCATGTTATTTTCAATTTTAGATTCTGCACGTCGAGATGGTAAGTTATATTTACGACTAGAAAAAAATTAATTCATAATTTTTTTATTTGTTTGTTTATTTTTTCAAAATAAAATCAGCTGTTCTTAGGCGTGCGCAAAGTACGTACAGAAAAAAAACAATCATATTTTAGAAAAAGAAATTTATCAAACAGAAAATTATCTTATTTAGGATGTGTATTTTCATTTATTGGTACACCTGTTCTTCTTAAAGAAGATAATTTTACATTTGGTGCTTGGTTTAAAGATCCCATGCCTAAAACTGCTAATGGTGCTCAAAAAGTCTATGTAACACGACATGTTACTGGTACACTTTTATATGAATATAATAGTGAATCAGATTTAATTAGTGATACACCTAATCGCATAATAACATTACCATATCCATATTCGGGTGTCAATCATGTTGTCTATCAAGGAAGTTTTATTTATAATGTTCAATATAAAAATACAATCATGCGTATTGATCTTGTTTCTGAAAGTGAAGCACAAAGCGTGGAAATAGTTGCTAGCCGTGAACCTCTTTATAATACACCACAATCAAGTTGGTATGATTTTTCTATTGATGAAAATGGTCTTTGGCTGTTGTATCGTCAACAACAAACACGCAACTTCATCGCAGCTAAAATTAATCCAGATACATTAGATACACAGAAAATGTGGATATTACCATATAATCCGTCAAGTTTAAGTCAAGGTTTTATAGCATACGGCGTTTTCTACGGTGTACAACATTATAATAAACAGCAATCCTATATTGATACTGTCTATGATATTTATTCGAATTTAGCGTTTACAACAATGAAAATTCAATTTGCTGTGCCATTTCAATTTTTAGTTCAATTAACTTACAATCCATATGAAGGAAAAATATTTGCTTGGGATAATAAACATTTACTCTACTATGTTTATAATGTTCAACGTGACAAAAGTTTTAAATGTTCAAAATAATGATGAATATCAGTGTCCGGTGATGGTCAAAAACGAACGACAGTATTTACATTTTAGTTTATTTTCTCATCTTTTCTGTCTCAGGTGTATGCTTATTCATATTCGATCATTATTTTACAAAAAGAAAAAAAAAGTCTTTTATCCTGTTTTTTTTTGCTTTTTTTGCTAAATATAAATAAAAGAAGTTTGTATGTTTGCCTAGCTTGGATCTTCTTTCTTTCTTTCTTTCTTTCTCCTGATTGTCGTTCTATGGTCACGGATGAAGACAAGGTTAACATAAGTATGAACTTGAACAAGTAATAGAAAAACCTTCGATATAAAGGCGCAAGTAACAGTGATATATTGCGACTGATCACAACCTTTTGATGAAGGTTTCTTACTCCTTCGGTTTTTGTTCTTTTTGACAACGATGAATGTTTGATCAGTCAGGTCATGTTCTACTCCATCGGTCGAATCACACATCTATGAAGTATGATAATAATATCGATAATATAAATAGGTACGAGAAACATAGTACAATAGATATGTCCAAATGAACAGAACATTTTTCTACTTGTATTTTTTTTTGATGAAGGATAATTACGAATTTTATTGAACGAATACATATATATTTACTGTCTCGTCTTCATGTTCCTTTTTCTCCTCTATATGCATGAATATGAGGAATCAATGATGCAAAACGATGCCTTCGTCCTTTTATTCGTTCTTTAATATGCAAGTTTTTTTCTTTTCAACTCGTCTGTTACGTTTAAATGGCAAGAATAACTGTAAGAGAAGAGCATATCTAATAAAAAGCTATCAATACTCTTATAAGTTACTTAAAAGAAACTTGCCGTCGTCATACAGGTGGCTATAAATACTATTAACAAAACATATTACTAATTCATTTTTTTTTTTGTAAATACAAGCTCAATTGCTGCTTGGAATACGAAGTTCATATTTTGTTTTTCGTATAAATTTAATTTAAACAGCGACTTAACTGTTTGAAAGAAAATATTCAACATGTTTGGCTCAGGATTTCAATGCTCAATGCCTACGTGTCCACCACCGATGATGTGTCCATATGATGTACCTGTTTCACAGCCATATCCTTGTCCGTTTCCTGTACCACAACCATATTTACAAAATGTGATTCAACCTGTTGATGTTCCTGTACAAAATGTAATTCAACCTGTCATCATACCGAGACCCTTTGGCGTTCCTGTCCCTCGTCCTGTACCAGTTCCAGTTGACCGTCCATGTCCAGTACCTGTTCCACAGCCTGTACCAGTTCCAGTGGAATGTCAAGTACCTGTTCCATGTTATATACAAGTTCCACAACCATGTGCAGTCCCTCAACCTTTTCCTGTACGAGAAGAAGTTTGTGTTCCTGTTGCTGTACCAGTTCCACAGCCATATCCAGTTCCTCAACCATATCTGGTACGAGAACAAGTATGTGTGCCTTATCCTGTTCACATACCAACACCTGTACAAGTACCACAGCCATATCAATACCAAGTGCAAGAGGTAATGAAAAATAAAACAGATTTTTTTTTCAAAACAAATCTCTCTGTTCTAGGAATATTATGGCCCTCAATATTATCCCGAAGAAGAATATATTTATGACGAACCTATGTATGTAAAGCAACGTCGTCGTCGTCATCATCATCATCATCGACGACGTCATAGATCATGTACACCAGAATGTGCTCCATTACCACCTATTATTATTCCTATTCCAATACAGGAACCAGCTCCACCCCCACCACCACTTCAAATAACTGAATATGTTCAAGATATTTATCCACCCGCACAATATTACAATGATCAAGTGCCTGTAGTATGTTTTTCTTTTAAATATTCTTGCCCTATTTAACGTCTATTTATAAAGGGTTATTGTACTAACAATTCAATTATTCAACAGCCTGCTCAAATACAACGGCAACAATCAATTAATTGCCAACCAGGATACACTATACGATCATCTCCATGTACACAACAATTCATACAAAGAGTGCCTAGTGGTCAATGCATTCAACAACCACTTAATGCTATCGGAGGTGGCGTTCAAACTTTTGCAACAGGACAACAACCTTACGTTTCTTCATCCAGTTCAGCGAGTCTGATAAATTCTTGTCCGCCGAGTACTCAATGGATTTCTTAAACATTATTCTCGTTTTTTTTTCATTATTATAAAAAAAGAACGAACACAAAACTACAGCTAAATAAAATTTAAAATGGCATTTTCGGTAGATGAAAGCGTGGAATGACTTCAGGATAAGCTGTACCATCGAATGTTGGCACTAGATTAGAAGGAAAAAAAACATGATTATAAATAGACATTAAATTATATGTCACTTACCAGCACCTCGTGGTGGATTTTGCTTCGGTGTATAAGCATAACGGCCAAAACGGTTTTGTTCAATATGTTTTAAATGTTGTATACTTTTTGAACTTGGATTTCTGTACTCACGTTGCATTTCAGTTTCCATGCCATAATCAAGTATTCGTCGACAACCAGTTGCTAATATTAAAATAATTTTACACCGAACACTTTCAGATGAGAACTAACTATGTCTCGAAGAATTCTACTTACTTAATGATTCAAGAATTGCTATTTCATCGCGTAGAACACTTGTTGTCCAATTTTGTTTTACTTAAAGGATAAAAAGAGGCAAGATCTATTTATAAAGAAAAAAAAATATATATATCAATAATTTGTTGTACATACGTGAACGAGGTTGATATTCTCGATTTAGCTGCTTGGCATCAGTCATCTTTACTATTAAGAATCGAGCCGCAAGCAACTATATCTGTAGTCAGCCTATCAAAATGTGCGTGGCTTCATTTCATTTTTTTTGGGGCGTATAGAAACAAGAAAAAATAATATTAATTCCATTAAAATATCAAAGTTCTCTGCTTCTCTTTTTCGTTCTCTCCCTTTTTTGTTAAATATTATTGCTGAATGTATTCCATTGTCATCATCAGCAGCAGCAGCAGCCAGAGAAAACTTTACTATGCTGATCGATTCTAAAAAGTGTTTCTTTTTGTTTTTATTTCATATAAAACAGCTGTTGAAGAGTCAAACGAACCGTACCATTTATTTCAACAAGTATTCACAATTTTGTTAAGCCAATTGGCTCAAAATGAATGCAAGCTATTATTATACACTACTTTATTATCTCTATTTATAGTTTTTTTTTGTTAAAGTTTAAGTTCAATTTAGTGAAATATTTTCACTTGATTATTAACAATCTTGATTTTTCTTCGTGAGAGAAGCAGCTGCTATAATTGACTATCGTTAATATTAGTATCAGCAAGTTGCAAATATTATTTTTTTGTTTGAGTACATTATCAAGCCTAATCGCGTAGTTATGACATGACATCAAGCAAATGGTGACAAAAGTAAAGAGAAAAATCCACAGCAGCTATAGTCAGAAGTAGAATGCATCCAATGAAAGTACTGAATAGAGAAAGCTCTTTCACATTCGCATGTGTGCATAACATTCATTATGACAGCAGTTTGCTTGCATTATTTTGTTTCTCTTTTCTCTACTTTTTATAGTGAACATGTGTTGCAAGTAATCATGATGCGAATACAGACTATATGTCCTGCTGATGGCTGCCGTGGATGTGGATGTTTAGATGCTAAGAAAGTCACGGAACGAGAGAGACGATAGAGAAAAAAGTAGCAGAAATAGCAGCAGCCGGCAATGTGTATGTAACAGAAAAGACAAAAGAAATGCGTATGTGCTTCAATAAAAGCTGTTAATAAGATACACACTCGTTCGAACTTCTGTTCTATTCGTCTACTGACACCCGATGATCGCCATCCTTTGGAAGCGAAAGACGACATTGAAAAATTTCGAATAACGCAACATTGATGCCGTAATTTGAGTTATTAACAAATAAAATGAATAAGTAAGCCATTTAATCTAACTTAAATTGAAAAAGGAAATCACGAAAAAAAGAAGAATCCCTTAATACTTTGATTTTTTTTTCTTCCATTCTACAGCTCATCAGCAATAAAATTAGAGTCAATCGAACTTGATAACAATCGAATTGTTGTTAACACAACAGACCTCCCAGCATCTATGCCACATTATAATCGAATGAAAAGATCCCGTAAAGCAGCCAATCCATCAAAAACCATTAAAACATCAAGACAAACATTATTTATAGATTCATTAATGAATACATTTCAAATCCAAACCGACGCATCATCTCCTATTCTAATGACGTCCACCGATGATGAACTATCTAACTTGCCCCAATTCGATCGTATCGACGAACAAGAAAATAATGACGAAACTAGTATTGATATGAACGAAGAATCTTCTATTACACATAATTCAGTATCATTAAAACGACCACGATTAAGTTATAATAAACGTTTAGAAGCTAATGCACGTGAACGTGAACGCGTACATAACTTAACCGCTGCATTCGAAGCATTAAGACAAGTTATACCTATGTATGGTGATCAATCAAAGTTGAGTCGTTTATCAATATTACGTATAGCTTGTTCATACGTACATGTTCTTGGTGCATTAAATGAAATTGATTTCAGCCAAGGACAAAATGCGTACACACTCAATGAATCATTTCATATGCTTTCATGTACAATTTTAAACGAACTCAAACGAAAAAAGAGCAATTAACAATAGACATGGAAGATTTTATTGTTAGTATAAGTTTTTGAAAAAAACAATAGCAAAAGATTCTTGATAATCAATGTTTTGTTTTTGTTGAACAGTACTCGAAATTTCAAAATAAAACTATGATATGTGCCGATTGGTCTATAGAAATACAAAATTTTATTGATTACTTTTTAATTGAATCCAAAATTGCTTAGTAAACCTTGCTAGACAACTATGATAATTAGAAAATTATTAGGTCAATGCGGTTATGGTCTTTTTCTAATTAATCTTTAATTTCTGTTAACCTATTTTCAAATGTTTATTATTTTTTTGTTGAATCAATCTTGACGATTGCTTGTTGTCAACCGAAATTTTTTTTCAACATCTTTCTGATCAAAATCTGATCTATGCTATCATCATCTTCGTATACATCGAATTATTTTCTCTAACAGATTGATATTATCAATAGAAAATTGGCGATCAAGCATTATAGGGACAAAACAAAAATGTAAACGTGCAAAACTCGAGATTAAGATATGACAAAGCACGACGTGAAACACTAACATTGGTAATTATCGCGAGTTATTATATTCTCATCATTTATAAATTGTTTATTTGGATACTCTTAAGATCTGTTTATTATCAGTAAAAGAAACATATAATTGGAAAAATCTAAAAACATTTGTAAACAAAAATGGATAAGAATTATCATCTTCAGGAAATTCTTATGTAATTGACGAGGTATGTTCAGATTTCCGAAAAAGGAAATTACAGAAATTTCCGAAGCTTCCATCAACTCGATTACTACATAGCAAAGCAAATGAAAATTTTTTGAAAATATTTGGAAGTTTAGAAATTTCGGAATCTTCTGTAATTTCGGAAATTTCGCTTTGTACAGAATTTTGGAAATTTCAAAAATTTCGGAAATTGTATAATTTTGGGAAATACCAAACAATTTAGAACACAAGTACTTGAAATTTCCAAAACTTCCGAAATTTCCTTTTTTGGAAGTCTGAACACTGCTGTAATTGGCATGTAATATTTCACTAGCATTGATTGCTTGAGGAGTATTTTTTTTATTTCAAAGTCTAAAATACCTAAAGTACGAATTGTAACTGAATTCATCGAACTGAATCTGTTGTATAAAAGATCGTTGAGTACAGACAATATAGGACAGATAGTGATCTAATAATAGCTATTTCATGAATCTCACGCATGTGATCTAATTATTGCTATCGGAGTACTCAAAAGTCTTTTTTTGAGCGGAACGATTTCTTCCTCAGTAGCAAAGTAAAGAACTTATTATTTATTTCTGAAAACTCTTAACGTTCTATTTAATATTAGTTAAGTAATAATAAAACCATTATAATCAATTAAATACGTACATTGAGAGGTAAGTTTCTCTCCTGTATATATAAATGACTTGATATATGCTTACGAGTGTTAATTTACATATTTGATGAAGTATTTCAAATTACAGCATAATCTATTTGTGACTTGTACCTCATTTTTCCTAGGTTTGATCAACTTCTGTTTTGCTACAGTAATATCTTTTTGAATCAATAATTCTTCATTTAAATCTATGCAACAGAAATATGAGAACAATTTCTTTCATAATAAAAATGAACTGCCATCTATATTTTTCGCCAAAACATTTTTCTAGTTGATATGATCCAGGCAACGAGAAACATTTTATATGATTCTTTTTTTTGTTTGATGTACATTTCATACGCAAAAAAAAACAAATCATGTTATGTGTGCGATAAAATGGCAAGTCCCACTTAAATTCAGCACACAACACATGAAGAAATACGTATATTCGCATTCTAGATGGTCATTAGTGATGAAATTGTTTTCAACTATAAAAACATAGTATTATCGTCTATTGCAATATAACGCAGAGAAAAAAAGTAAGCTTTTTAATTCATTGCAAGGTCATAAAACCAAGGTCAATCTTTGTAGTTGAAGGACATCTTCATGCACGTTATAGTGAAAATAAAAGAGAACGATAATCATGTTTTTGTGGCCATAAATTTGCACACATGTTCTTTTCTCATTATTCCAAAACCCCCATACGATTATCTAATCTCTACTTTGAGATTATTTCGTCATTTTCTATAGGACTGCCTTTTCCCTTGCTACCGATTATGTGTGACATCTAGATAGGAAAAGTTGGAATGGCACAGTAAGCGACACTCATGTTACTATATGATTTGAACTTCTTTTCTCAAACTCTGCCCCATCGAAAAACGGTGCGTTGTATCACGAGTCGATCACGTCATAGGCACGCACATTGGTGCATGAAAAAATCACCAGCTGTTGCATATGAGATATTATTTTTCTGCTAAGAATTAATAATTATTGTGTATATATACATATATACGATAAGAATCTTATTGTCTTTGAAAATGGCAGCCAATGTATATGATTTTCTTTAAAATTTTCTTTTCTATTCATATTTATTCTTTTCTTGTCAGTAAATCAATCAACTAATCAAATTCGTTCTATTATGGTTAGCAACATTTACTGTTTTATTATCTGTCAACAAATTCGACTTTCCACGCATTTCTTTCATATATAAATCTTTATTTTTCTTTATGGATTATCTTTAATTGATAAAAACCAACGCAAAATGATTCGTCGAGTTGTTTACGATATTGAATTTCGTGTACTTGTTAAAGAGAAATTAAATTCTTCTGATAGTGTTCTCATTACTGGCTCGTGTGACCAATTAGGTGAGTGGCTACCCAATCGTTGTGTACCTTTAAATCGTCTCGATAAAACTGACGATGGTGAGATTTGGTCAACGAATATTAAAATTTATGGTACGCAAAAAATCTCGTACAGATATTTAATCGCTCAAATTGTCCGCATTGATGATGATTTAAATTTAATTGTTAAGAAGTGTAAGCGTTTGAAAATCTCGTTTTTTATATGTAATTTTTATTTTTCAATCTATAGGGGAAACATTTAAAGTAGCACGTCAATTATCTTTTAACAATTGGACAAATGACTCGGGTGTGGGTGTGTCATCAATTACTACGCCAACAGTTGATAATGAGCCGCCGGATGAATTTCCAGCTATATTTGGTTGTTATAAAGGTGAACGCCGTACTGATATTGGTTGGTTAACTGGTCAGACAGAAATTCAACTACGCTTTCATTCAAATGCTTTACAAATATGGTCATCCAAGCTCCGCAATAGTAAAATATCATTAAAAGTTTCGCCTATTGGTATGTTTTGTTTTCAAGAAATAGAAATATCTTAATTTTAACAATAAATATGAAATTTAGATTTAAATTATCAGCAAGAAAATGAAGAAACGTCAACCGATTCACCTAGTCAGATCTTTGCACCAACGTCAAAAGTTTTCATTCAATCAGCTTTATTACGTTTGTCAGGTTGTGAAGCAAATATTCAAAGTGATTATGGTGCTATTATCGAAAAAGATGATTATGTGATTGTGAAAATTCAAACATTTGAACCCGAAAATGTTGCGTATCATATAGACTTCTATCTTGTTGATGATACAACATCATTAATAAAACACATTGGATTTGCATATGTTTTACCCATACATTCAAATCTTGAATTAGCCGATAATAAACAACTTAATCGTATAGTACCAATTATTGGTCTCAAACATAATCCGTGAGTGTTTTTATTCCAAATTAAACATATAATAGTTTTTCTTTCTTTTTTTTTAGCATTGGTCAAATAAAAATTGATGTACTATTAATAACACCACTAGATGCTGTTCAACAAAAATTTTTTGTTACACCATCAAAATATTGGCGTCAAGGCCGACGACCAGTGAATGTTGGCCATCGAGGATTAGGTATGAATTCTAGAATCTTAAGGAACCCATCGAAGATTGCTCTCACCTTTTCAATCGTAAAATAAGCATATGTAAAACTCTCTAAAGAATATAGGTCCTACTGATTTTACCGTTTAAAAAAACACCAGAGGATTCTTGATTAATCCTATTAGAAATTTAATATACTATTGATTGACTTGGAAAAAAATCATTCTAATAAATAATGTATAAGAGAAACGTGATAATTATAGTTAGTCCTACTTATTATAAATCAATTTTAATATAAAGTGATGAATCAAGGACAAGAACAAAAAGAAGTGTGCTTTTTTTTTATTAGGTAAAACAAATGCTGAACATATTCCATCTAAACATCTAGCATCAATATCGAATGACACAAATAAACAACGCTCTATTGATTCTGTAGCATCGAATTTTCCACCAGCAATACCACCTGTACAAACGAAATTTGTCAGCGAAAATACGTTAGCTTCATTTAAAGGTGCTTTTCAACTCGGCTTTGATTTTGTTGAATTTGATGTTCAATTATCAAAAGATAAAGTGCCTGTTGTTTATCATGATTTTCAAGTCGCTATTACACTTAAACGTAAAGGACAAGAAGCAGAATTATTTGTTGTACCAGTTAAAGATTTAACATTACCACAATTACAATCATTGAAAATCTATCATGCTAGTAAAACCGATGTCACTAAAGCTGATGAAGAATACGATGATGACGATCAAGCAACTATAAACAATACAATGAATTCACTAGGAACATCAACGTTATCAAATGGTGTAGAAAATCAATTAAAACAACAACAAGATGATAAAAAATTTCGTTCGCTATTTCCAACACTACAAGAACTTTTCGAAACACTCGATCCATATCTTGGCTTTAATGTTGAAATAAAATATGCTATGGAATATAGAAAAGGTGGTAGTGAACAAAATCATTATTTTGAACGCAATGAATATATTGATTGTATTCTTCGATGTCTAATTAATTATGGTAAATAGAAATTTCAATAGAATCGAAAATTATTTTGTTTGAGAAACCGTTAGCTCGGAGTAATCTAATCATAAATTGATAAGACGATTGATAGAGTTCTCATAGTCGTACTGGCTTCAACAGTCAAATATCTTTTTATTTCTAGCCGGTAAACGTGTTATTGTTATATCAACATTTGATCCTGATTGTGCGTCAATGCTTCGCTTGAAACAAACCTTATTTCCAGTATTATTTTTAACACAAGGTGATAAAGGCGATTGGCCACAATATTTAGATATTCGAACATGGTCGATCGATATTGGCCTATGTTTTATTGTTGCTGAACATTTATCAGGTTTAGCTGCGCCAGCACTTGATATTCTTGCAAATAAAGAATTTGTTAAACATGTGAAGGAAAACGAAAAATTATTATTTATTTGGGGCGATGAAGCCAGTAAGAGTTTAATAAAAAAGACTTTAAAATTTAAAAAATTTCTTTACTATTTATATTAAGGTAATAAAGATGTATCGAAGTGTTTATTGGAATTGCGTGTCGATGGTTTAATTTTTGATCATGCTGCTGAAGTAAAAGAAGAACATTCGACAATAGAAAATCTCTTCATTTGTAAGTAACTCAAGTTCAGAATTGAAAAAAATTCTGAAGACTTTCTTGCTTTTAAATAAATTTTAGCTGAAGAACGTGAAGAATTAGAAGTTGTGAATAATTTTCGTCAAAAACAACTTGAATTGCAACATCATCAACTATTACAAGAACTTGAACGATTAAAAGCAGCACGTGAAGCAACGAATTTATCGATATCAACAACAAACCCACCATCGATAAATCAAATTTCTAAAGTTCTAACAAATGCAGGACAAGATCAATCGTCAATAATAATAGATTCAAATTTTAAACATGTTATGTGACTAAATTATATTCGTCGATTTCGAGAAATATTTTTTGTCTTTATTCTTTATCTATTCTTAATGATAGTTTCATTTTCGTCCTCGTTTTTTGTATCTTAAGCCTTTGCATAATCCTTTATTCTCTTTTCTGCTAATTTAAAAGAAGAAAAACATTATTTATTGTCATCTATCAATTACATACGGCAGAGACATATCAAACCATAGGCAATATAAATAACTTCCTAAAAAATAGAGTAAAAATATTATCTTATTTTTTGATTATAGATTTTATCAATGGTGATACGTATTATTAACAGTCTTTTAGGAGTTTTAACTCGACCCTATATTTATCTACAACAAGTTATTCTTATTTCATTTCAATCTTATTTACCAATGCAATTTGATGAAAAGTCATGGTATATGCTATTTGGTTTTATGACTTTTATGGTATTTATTATTGCCTATGTTCTTAGTCGCTATGTAACATTACAAGACGCCGATGATGATCCTATTTATCAACGTGCACGCTTCTATTCGATGCAAAGAAAACATTCAAAAGAGACTTGAATAAGAATTTAATTGCAATAGTGTGTTTTTCCATTCTCTACAGTACTTTTACAAGAGAATAATCTAGTCAATATTTTGTAAATAAAGTTATTAATAAAAAATAAAACGGAAAACAAAAGCGTTGTTAATTCTCAAGAGTATTGCATTCATATGCATTAATTTATTAAAACAGTCACTCATCATTCTATGTTTTTGCATAGATATAGAGTTCACTGATGTGCGTGCTTAGGGAAATTTCGAAATCACAACTATAAGAATTTGCAGTCTGAAAAATTTCGAAATACATATTTTTGTGCATAAAACTCAAAATAAATTCTAAGAAATAAATTGTTATTACCATATAGTTGATTTTGATACAAATAGAATTAACATCAATTAGTTAATTTATTGTATAAAAAAATAAACAAACGATCTTGTTTTTACGAAAGTAAACGGCGCCTAAATGTAATAAATGAATGCAAGAAGCTAATAATAAATCTCGTTTATATTGTGAACACTACGTACCATCGAATATTGCTTGTTCAGATTGTCATGCAATCGAAAAGGACTATAAAAATCGACCACTTTATGCTCCATTATATGTTCCTCTACCTGAACTACCGACTGTAATCAATAGTTCGCAACTAAAACTGCCCAATACTTTCTATGTGCCAATGAATGAAAATTCAAAATCAAAAAATAATTGTTCGACTTATTTAACATCAGATGATTGTGTCGAGCTCAATACAAAGAATGGCATCGTTCGAGTACCACGATCGACGCTTGTTCAACGATGCGCTACGAACGAATCTATGAAAAATAATAATCAATGTTCAACAAGAAATGTCACTTGTAATTCTCAAGAAATATTTCCAGGTGATTTTAAAAAGCATGCACATCGTTTTACACGTAGTTTCAGTTGGAAAACTAAACCAGAAGAACCACCATTTGCACAAATGCAACCTCTACCGAAACTTATAAAACGACCTGGTTATATTGAAATGTGTTGTAAAAGTTCGATAACTATCAAGAAAATTTAATATTCTATGATTATTATTCAAAACAACTGTTTGGTTTTAGATATTTGTTGGCCAACACATCAACTTTGCTTGTGTTGTACAAGAAATGTTGCTGACAGTTGCCGTAAATGGTCAAAATCAACTGGAGAATATGATTATATTGATGCATGCTGGTCATCATGTGCATTATGTTCAGATGATGCCTATAAAATACTCAATACACCTGTTGTATATAATGAGAAAATTATTGATCCTGAACTTCTATTACCACTCGATGCTGAATTACTCTACTATTCAATACAATCAGCAAAACGGCAAAAAGCCAAACAGCAGAACATTCTAACCGAATCATTAAGTTCTCAACAACCATCACAAAATCAGCAACAACAAAATACACTTCCATTCAGTACTATCCAAAAGACTATCAAAGAGTTGCCATCGTCAGTGACAATACAAGAACAACAACGGATTGCACCATCAACATCACTGGCAAACGTAGTAGAAAAGTCAAAGCAAGTAGGAAAAATGAAGTCTTTAAAACCTATCAAGACTAGAAAAAAATCATCGACATCCAATCGGAAGAAAAATCGGAGAAAAAAATCTAGTCGATCCAGAAGTCCGTCCAGTAAAAAACGATCCAGTCGATCGAAAAATCATTCTAAACGAAAATCAAAATCGTAACCAATTTTTTTTCTTTCCTAATAAATAAAACTGATCATGAAGATTTGACAGATACATGTAAAATATTCAATTGCCAATTAGGAGATATGTGTATATTAATATAATTATCTATCAATGCCCTCTGGATAGCAAAATCCCATTTATATGATAATAGAAATTGATTTAAAAGTATTTCATTAGAGAAATATATAAATAATTTCTAAGGATTGAAAAAATTGCAAGTTTAAAAATTGAATCAGACTGCTCATTCGTCTATTATCAATCGTTCTTTTGTTGATAAGGAAAATGTCAAAACAATTAACATGCTTTTCGCTTGTCAGTATTTTTTCCCTAGATTTCCTAAAAGTCTTCTTTCGGAAGTTACAAAGACGTTGATGCCATGGCAATGAATGTTTGCAACGTTATGCATCGCTGAAATAACTAAATATTATTCACTTAAAATTACACCTTATTTTGCTATTAAATATGGCTATGAGAAAGAACTCACTAGTGTTTTTTTTCTTGCACGTCTACATCCATGCGTGATGGCGCAAACTATTTCAGAAAATGAACCACTCAAACTATTATCAACGACGACTCTCTGAAAAAAGCCGACGATCTATTCTTGATGCTGTGAGCAATCAACATAGTTCTATTGATAGTTTCTCTCGATAGCTTAGGAATGCTTATTTCATAGTTTCTACTATGAAGAATACTTGAAAAAGAATTATTGAAGACAATCTTTTCTAGACTCTTTGCTCATAAATCATTCTTTTTTTTTTATATATTGATATAGTCCAAAAATTTACACTATCACATCAAAAAAGATTTTAAAACAATTATATATCGGCTTGTTTTCTATTGACATAGAAGCAATTTATTTAGATTACGATGTTAGAACGTATTATTCAGATAGTAACTGTAAATCATGTCGATTAAGAACATCATAATTATTATTTTGTACGCATATATATGACGTCAATAAGAAGTACTGAAGTAAATAATACTTGAAGAGGAAAATTCCGCAGGTCTATGAAGACATGTTGACATATATGATAAGTGTGATAAACTGACATTTTATGGCATTTTCTTTCTTATCTTCTTTCTTTTAATCGAAATACATTTCATAAATTTGTTTTCGTCACACATACACAAACATATTCGTAGGTCTTCTTTCTAATTGATGAAATATAGTTTCCGATAAAATGGTGTTTCTCATCAGAGATTATACTTAACTAGAAGAATAAAGAAACGAAGATTTAGTCAACAACGAAAATCATCTTTCAAACCCTCATCGTGTTCACTAATGAATCTCATACGCATGTTTGTTTTCTCTGATGGATTATCATGCTCGTGTTAGCATGATTTTCAATACAAGAAAAGAAAGCAAAGCAGAGTGTTTTTTCTTTTGAAAAATTGTTCTAAGAAAAATAATTTACATTTATTGAGTAACATTAAAAATTTTATACATTCATCTGAATATGCTTTACATGATAATATACTTAATAATAATAGTAGATACTTAACAACAAGCCAATAGACGCCATTAATAAAGATGAATGTAGGCTCCGTGCTTTATTACAACCATCAAATGCACAAAGTGACATAGAGCCTTGTAGACGTATAGAACCATTCAAATCTTGAAAACCTTTTAATCGAAAATTGCCTGATGTTTCCAATAATTTTGTTGATTCCATAATATTATCAACAACACACGTACGATAGTAAATAACAGTATTTAAATAAGAAGCATTCGCATCACTATCGACACTCAAAACGCGACCATTAATTTTTACGCAAAATCTAGCCGGAAATGTTCCATTTTTGCCGAAAGCAGTTGCCTGAAAAAAAACAAAATTCATGTTCAATATTCATTTTACTATACGGTTTGCAAGTCAATTAGTTTTCTCTACTCTCAAGTGCTCTATGCCCTCCCTCGTCATTTATAACCAACTCCACTATCGCTAATCAGATTATTCAATTTGTGTTCGAAGAGAAAAACACAACAGAAAGAAATTAATTACTTTCTGCATAAATATTGATAAGGTTTTTGTTTAATTTTTCAATCCCATGAAAAATGACTATTCAAACACGAGAAATAGAAATCATCGTATTTACCTGACAATTTATTTGTACCGGATTAATCAAGGATGAAAATGGATCTTGGCAGCCATCATTATTTGGATCTGTAGTCATACATTTATAGCATGCTAAACCTTGGCTTTCTATAGGTTCAATCAATAAAAACATATATATTAGCAATATAGTACATTGTTCCCAACATGGAATATTTTTCAGCATTGTGTAATGTGTAAAACTCAAACTTCTATTATTGATCGAAAGCAAAAAAAAATGAATTTTAGTTGTAAATATTTTTTCAAGTCACTGAATAACAACATTTACCTTTTGTTCTACTTCTTATCCGACCGCTTACAACAATGCGATATATGGAACTTTAAGTGATGGTAAATTTTTTTTGTAGAATAACAGCAGTTGCGTTTCCTTTTTCTTGTGCTCAACGAGTCATCATCGCCAACAGCATCATTTTCTTTTCTTTCTCGTTTTAGCTATGTGTTTCTGAATACTGAGGAGTTCTTCTTCGTCGTTGTTCTATTTCTTCATTTTCTTCTTTTTTTTCTTCTCTAAATTTATGCCTGATGAAGGCTCGGTTTTTTCCCCATACTCTCAGTATCCTCTATGCATCGCGCTCTCTGCCTCTCTCCTATCAACTGCAGTCATGTAGAAAAGTTGAGTCATTGATTAGACACTAGCTCTCTGAGACAGTAAAAGAATAGGAGAAAAACTGCTTACATCTAATATTTTTTTTCTATTTTTCATAATGGAACGATAAGGCGTTGCTAACATGATTCTTTCGCGTTATCTTGGCTGAGCTTTGCTTTTTTTTATCTCATTCTCATTTTCGCTTCCGACACAAACATATTGACTGGAGCAAAATTAAAGCAAAAAGTCAGTTCAATTTTTGATAAGTAACGTACGATAAGTAGTGTTACTCTTTTCTATTCTCTAAACGGAATAGATTCTCGGAGATGAGCGTGTATGAACGGAAACCAAAGATGATCCTTTTTCAAAGTACATGATTTCGAATTCATTAAACATAGCTTAGATGGGTATTTGAACTTTCTTCTGGTGAACACTAACAAAAAACGGATCAAGGAAAAAAAACGATTGTTCATACTAAATTGAGATTATTTTTAAAAAGATCATGTTCAATTAGCCAGAAAAAGAAACAAGAAATGATAGAACCATCGTGTTCAACAATCAACTGATGATACATCACTAGATCTTCAATTGTATATGAAAATAATCATTTGTTTTTTTCTGTTATTTCCCAATAGAATTTATTGTTCGAAGATTTACTGACCTCATTAGAGAAAATAGTTGCAAGACTAAATTGAACCTAAGGAAAAAAGAAAATAATTCTATGATCGTTCCTAACATTACTGGCTTCGGTTCCGGAGCTAGCAAACTGTTTCCGGTTCCTTTTTCCTTTACTGCTCTTCATATGTTCATGCAAGCAAATAATCAATATGTATTTCTCTTCCATATAAATATTAATTTTAAGATAAAACTTGTACACGATGATCAATATTAGAATCAAGCAAACAACATTAGTGAAAAAATGTTTTGCGGTATAAAAAAAGAAGTAGACTGATTGACAACTTTTTTCTTCTCTTATCATCTATCAATATGTGCTCTTGATAATAACTTGTAATGCCTTTGACATCTGTTGACACCTATTCATTCGATAAAATATGGTTAGATTAATGTCAATTTATGTAAAGTAAGAGCTGATATTAAGCTTTTTGACTTTTCTATTGAAAAAAAGATTGGATAATTAACCTTTTGTTTTTTCCACAATAAAAAAAGAAAAAGTTCTATTCGTCTTGTAATATATTCCATATGTAATTTTTAAGACTAAAAAGCAATTTGTCATTGGTGCTCTTGACATTTCTCAACAGTTACAACATATTCATAGGCATATTGAACAACACGAAAGGCTATTTTTCGTACTGAAGTTTGAATATTGTTATTTAGAAAAGTCGAAGATTAGAGGTCACATGAATGTAATACAAAATTGATAAATAAAATTTTAAAAGCAAACATCACAGTTTAGAGTCATTCGAACACGATGAAACATGACGAAAAAGTAAAGCAATGTCTAATGCGGTTTGATAAATTTCTCGAGCACTTTGAAGATTTGTTAAAATAGATATACATATACCACAACGAGGATTCGAACAATTATTTGAACATGGAATGATAAGAATTATTGATGTCGCTCCAACAGCACCACCTGTATGATAAATATGAGATGGGATACTACATTGATTGATAGAAGATGGTTGTTCTTTCGCAATCATCCATCCTAAACCATAAGAAGTATTTTTTCTATTTGTTGCCACTATTGGTGACCATAATTCTCGAATGGTTTCACTTTTCAATAATTGCTTATTGCTGTCAGAACTTACTAATTTTGTTTGACGACATTGTAAAAGATTATTAGCATAAAGAAGAAGATCAGTTACATTTGATAGTATTCCACCACCTGCCCATTTATATGATAAATCAACATAGGCAACATTTCTTAAACCTTCTTTTAATGACCGACGCCAATAATAACGACTTCGATTCGGTACAATTTCGTCTGGATATTCAAGTTTTGTATTACGTAAATCAAGTTGTTTAGTAATTAAATCATTGAGAAGTTCAGCATATGAATGTTTATCATCTGAAATACGTTCTAATATAGCACTTAATAATGTATAACCATGCGTTGTATACAGCCATGTTGTACCAGGCTTGTGCAATAATTCATCATTAACGAAGAGTGATAGAGATTCAGTTACGGTTGGAAATGGACGAGCTATATAATACTCTGGAAGATTGAATTCAGCATCTGTTTCTGGATCACCTTTTTTCCAATAGTGACGAATACCACTATGATAAACAGAAACAAGTTTTTACAAAAGGTAAAAGATCTTGCAGTGATATAAATCTATTGGTTTACCTTGTATGTGAAGCTAATTGACGAACAGTAATTGAAACAGGTACATTTTCAAATAAAAATTTTGGTAAATCAGGATGATATTTATCAATTTTATCATTCCAATTCAATTTTCCTTTTTCTACAAATTGTGCTGCGAGTGTAGCTGTAAATGTTTTGCTAATACTTGCAATACGCATAACTGTATCAGGCGTACATGGAACTCGTTGTTCAATATCAGCTAGGCCATAACCTTTTCTCCACACAAATGAGCCATGCATTGTTACACCGATACTAACACCTAATTATGACAATGAAACGAAAACAAAAGTTGTTTTTTCTTAGAAATAATTATATATCACCTGGAATTCCTTGTTTCTCTTTAAATCCTTGGCAAATAAGATCAGCTTGATTGATAGTTAATTTTAATTTTTCTTTATCGATATCGTTGTCATTATTTAATTGTGCCCATAGAAAGCCAGCAGTGCCACAAAGAGCTAATGGTTTACCCAGAAAATAAAATCGATTAAAAACACCCATGTTAGTTTTATCTATAATAATAACGCAAATTTGTTCTACAAGTAGAGTACGTTCGATTTTCTTTGATAGATACTACAACTATTCAACTAAATACTGTTTAACTTTTATTATTTCAAGAAATGTGTTTAATAAAGAAGAAAATTAATAATTTATTTCATCAAAAATTTATCTGTTTCACACATCAGACAAAAGTGGTCATTTTCTCGTCCTATCAGCAACGAATACATTTCTTATTATCGACATCTATATATAGAAAAGCGCACCTGAAAGAAAAATAATACAATTAGAATGATTTTAATACAATTGGTAAAATAAAACGTAATCAATAATTTATTGTCGATGGAACAATTGGAAATGTTCAACTATTACCAGTTAATGCTTTTAAATTTGGTTGATTCTAACTAACAAACAAAGAAAGAAAACAAAAATTAACATCAAACATTTTCAATTACTCATTTACTTTAATAGTTAATAAATATCTTTCGACAAGTTTAATAACTGCCCTAGAAAATATGTTTGGAAATGCCAATGCATGCAAACGTGGTACACTATGACTTGATTCTGATATATTTTCCTTTAATACAAGTGCAATACAACCCGAAAACTAATGCCTAATTCAATAGAAATAAAATAGATAGAAACGGAAAACAAAATGATATTTCATATTTATACTTTAAGATTAGAAAAATAAGTAATACATGAATGGCGGTTAATAGTTAACTGAATTCCATATAATATCTTTGCTGTTACTTCCTAATCAAAACCACGCTAAAAATAATAAATTTGAATCTTTACTTTATCAATGGTTTTTTAAATATTCGATTAATACGTCTAAATAAAAGATTTAATACTGATCGCGCATTGTCCTTGACTCTAATTAATCCATTTTAATGGTTTTGCACAATAATTTGAATACATCAATATGATATTGATATTGGATTATACCCATCTAATTAAATTAATGTATGTGCTATATTAGTAAGATATGCATGAGATTTTGCATCAAGTAATTCCGGCATACATATTGTGGGATCATTAATTAATGTAAATGTTGTGTAGAAAAATGAACAGATGTTGATATCACAGAAAGAAGTGTATCACATGACCAATGAATTTCAGATGATTGCTTATGTTAATCATCATAGTGAGCTTTATTTTTATTTCGCTCATCAATAAAACAACTAAAGTAGTAACTGATATTTTTTACGTCATTGAATCTTCACCAAGTACAATTGGCGGCGAATGACTTGAACCAAATGAATCTTTATAGCTTTCACCTATTAATATATCGTGTTTTGGTTCAACAAATATTTGTGTTAAAGATTCTTGATGAACTAACCACTGTTTTTTTTATAGTAGTTGATAATTTTTCAATTATTTTAAGTTCTTCACGATCGTGGTTTTTCGAATTATTTTTATTTGTACGATCTTTTAAATATTCTAAATGTTTTGGTAATGATAAATCTATTACATCAAGCAATTGTAATGATCGAGTTGAATTCGGTACATAGGCAACTATAAAATATTTCTCTTTTTCTAGTGATCATGTTTCTATATACAACTTACCAACAGTAACACAAAAATCAATACAATTAAGTACAGTAAAAATCGTGTCATCGTCTGTATAAGAAAAAAATGAAGTTTTTATCGTTACTGGTGCAATCATAACGGGTGGGCCATAACGAATGTCACCCTCAGTGTTTTTGGAATATCTCGCTCAAATTGTGGCGTAGATATTGCAGTGTTTTTCCAAAAGGTAGCCCGTGCAATTCTCTACAAAACCTAGTGAAAAGAGCTGTTCGAACGATTAACTATGGAAGTATATCCAGTCAACATTGCAATGCCCCAAAATGGCGCACTTTCACAGCACTCGTGTTCATATTAACGATTTCGCGCCGCTCTGTCGACCCCATATAAACAGGCTTAATAGGCCATTTTGTAGCCCTTGAAAAGTTCTATTGGTTCAACGAATACCTTTTTTGACATATTCTTAATTTACTCGAACAAAACCCTTTCTTTGCTCCCCTCTGTTCACGTTATGAGAATCCTCCATTAAGTTTCATCGCGATTTCAATTTTGTTATCATAAGTGGAAAATTATTACATATTCAAATTTAGTACTAGGTTGAAGGAAGACGTTTTCTCTATCATATCGCTACGAACAGAATGGTGTAAAATAATTTGCTGCAGTGCTTGAGGTGCATAATACGAACGATCAATGATTCCAACGCATTTTTTTGAAGCAGACTGACCACTGAAACCGTGTAAACGTATCTGGATACTTCTTTGAAGCTTTGTTAGAAAAAGTACACTCGACAACACAGAAAACTAGCATTAGAATTGGGTTTCGTATCTAATTTTCTAGTAGAAATGAAATAATTCATTTTCTAAAAAGGTGCATTTGAAAGTGCGCCATTTTGGGGCATTGCAATGTTGACTGGATATACTTCCATAGTTAATCGTTCGAACAGCTCTTTTCACTAGGTTTTGTAGAGAATTGCACGGGCTACCTTTTGGAAAAACACTGCAATATCTACGCCACAATTTGAGCGAGATATTCCAAAAACACTGAGGGTGACATTCTTTATGGCCCACCCGTTATTTCGTTGACCAAGTGCTGCAATAGCAGTTAAATTTGCAACAAGCATTATTGTTGGTGTTATGATTGTTTTATGTGGTGTATGATCTTTAATTCATTCTAATATTGAATCATCCTGCATAGCATCAACACTTGTGTGTTCTAATGCAATTAATAAGTGAAATAAATTCATTGGTTAAATTTTATTTGTATCAGTATACCATCAGCTTGTTCATCATAATCAAGTATTTGAGATCGACTAACAATGATTTGTAATATAAATAGTATACGATGTAATGTAAAAACAATATCTGCAATAATATTTAATAGATCGTTTTAACATTGGATTCAATTGAATATTTGAATAAACACGCAGAAATGTTAGCATTATTAATGGATGACTAAAATTTAAAAAAAAATTGTTTTTCGATATTACATATATTATTTTACTAACCCATTTGTAGCAAATATATGTCGAAAATGTTTAGTTGTACTAATATAAGCTGCAAGATAGAAACGTAACATAGCAACATCTTCACGATGTAATATAAATGTACCATTGGTTACATTTAGAAATACCGTTATATCCCATGTTGTTGTTGTTGTTTTACCATCCATATTGAAAAATAAATATCAAACTAATTTTATACTTAAATAGATCAATAGAAAAATAGTTTCAACAATGATTTTATTATTTTATTGAACTTGCCAATTATATTTATGCAACATATGTAAACTAAATAGTTCTTTATTAGATATTATTGTATATCAATAAAATCGGATTCTAATGTTTTTCGTGGAAATGATGGACTTCTAAGTTCATCACGAAAAAAGTAACACAATTATGTATTTGATTATATGGTGTATTTTCAAGTAAATATCGAGCAAAACTTTAGATAATTCTCTTGTTTTTACATAAATCGATATAGATTCAAATTGTCGTTGTGATTTTTTAAAAATCCATATACATTAATGATAATTGTGGATAAATATTTCAACGAAAAAACAAAAAATCTCTTACATAAGGATTCGGTAAATGTATTTATTGAGTTTTACCGTCAGTCAAACAATATCAGTCACATTTTGAATCAGATATACCAAAACAAATCCAGTGCTTCTTGTAAAGCATTACTAAATTGTGTATCTTCTTGTATAATTGCTTGTCTTGAAATTCGTTTAAAAGCTGGACGATGTATAATAACTTTCTAGTTGATGGAGTATTACCAGTTGTTTCGTTTAAAATCTTTTAAAACAAGACCATGTAAGTAGGAAACTATCTGCCATAAGAATGCAAGACCAAGTATAATTAATTCTTGTGAACTATCAAGTGGTGAACGTACCATACTCATTAATAAACCAAGCACATAGTTAAATACTGCATGAGCAAATTATGGTTAAATACCAGCTAAAAATATCTCAAGACGACAAATACTTTAAAGAAATTTTACCTAATATTGAAAAAGAAAGCCTTTTTGTGTACTCAAAAAGTGAGTACACTCTAGAACCGGTCAGTGTGTCCGGCCGTCCGGCCGTAGGCACGATAACTTGCGAAAGGAGAGTCAGATCGTGATGAAATTTTCCACACAGTTCAATCTCATGAATATTTCAGTCGAGTTCGAAGATGAGAAGAATCCCTCAAGAAATGGTTGAGTTATCGAAAAAATTGTCATTTTTGACCAGGCCATCCCTGAGGAGGAGTACAGGGAATTTTTTTCAAAAAATAAATCTTTCTCAGAATTATTCACAACATATATAAATCGACTCGGTTTTTAACGCTGATTCCGAATCTGATATTGGTTTTGAGCTAAACCGTAGCTTTCTGATGAAGCATCGCCTGAAAAACGTCTCAAAATGCACAAAAACTGCATCCAGAAATCAAATTGCCTAGTTTCTCATGATAATTTTGGTGTTCAGACATTCTAGAATGACTCATATATCCCATGCACTTTTTGCAGTACACATAACTTTCGGATGAAATCCGAAGTTTCCACATTTATTTAAATTTATATTTAACTACGAAAAATACTTACATGATGTTCTTTGTGAGAAAGTTTTTCAAAGAAAAAACGAATTAATAATTTTGGTTCATCAACTAAACATGTTTAGAACGGTTTTCGAGCTGCTTCAGACACTAAATAATAGAGAAGAATTAACATTTTCTCATCATATTTCGTGAGAAAAATTTAATTAAAATAAAATGGAAATGTAAGGTTCTCTAAGAAGCATGAAAACAATGGAGAAATGGATCTTTAGAATAAAGCTCTTCAGAGACTATTCTGAGATTGGCAGTGACGATGTAACTGATTGAAATTGAGACCGAGAGGCTCGGTACATGTCTAGGTAAATGCGTAAGTTGAAAAATGAGACTTTTTCTAAATAGTAAACAACTTGAATCTATGGAAAGAAGATAACTTGAACATATGGTTTTCTTTGTAAGACTACAGAGACGATGTTCGTCGAAGTCTATCTTCCCGCTTACTCGCAACGTATTTTATTAAAAATCTTCTCTCCATCCTCCTTATGATAAATAGATAAAAGCGATAAACTACTAATACTTTTCAAATGTTTCTTCATCTTCTAACATTTCAATAGCAAGATACACAGCTGTACAGAATGATGAAGGGAATGTTCCTTGCACTTGACGTATTTGAATACTCGTTTTAACAAATTGATCATCATCTGTATGCACTTAAAAAAACCGATATTTTCAATTATATTTTCCAAAATAAAAAAACTAAATGAAATCATACTTCTTCGTCATCTCTCGATTGACGTAAATGGTTCAGATGAAGCTAATTGGCTCATTGACACAGTTGAAATAACAAAATTTTCTCTTGCTACACGTTTACTTGTTTCATCAGTCATTAGTCTGAATGAATTAATTCTTATTGGTGTTTGTTTTTGTGCTTTATTTGCTGTAACAGCAGCTCGCTAAATTAGACAATTCAGAACAAAATTTTATTTATTTATTTTATAATACATAAAAATCACACATATAACTTCTTCTATTTTACCTTCATCATTGAATGTGTCTACTTACAATCGACTCTAAAAGTGATAACGAAAATACCATAATGCTTGAAATTTAAATATTGCATTATAACGAATAAATGCGAAAGAATTTTCTATTTCTACATGAAATAAAGCATCAACTAAATAACCAGTACGGACAACTGCTAGAATAATAATTGCTGCTGGAAAAGACAATTTTTATTAAAAACAAAAAAAAATTCTTTTCTTTTTATCGTATTAGCACAAGCAGCTAATTCTTCATTACAATTTAATAAAGTTCCCACAATAAATTAAGTATTTGTGAATAATGTTCATCATCTAACTGTTAAGAATTTATCCAATGAATGTATTTCATCAGACATAGAACATTTTCTCTGTGAATTATGTAATGTCATTTCTTGATATGTTTCCTTTTAGTCTAGGTCATTTTGTTGCCAGTATATTCTCTATTAATTACGTCGTATTATTTCTTGATATATTTTTTCCTTTCCTCTTACTGTTTATCTCTCTCTGTGTGTATGTTCTTGTTAGGCTCCGAAACGGGTCGATTTTTTCTGGCCCAACCCAGTCCGATTCAACTTTGGTCCAGTCTGACTCGGCCCGAGCTCGAACGATATCTCTTTTCCAAAGAACTTTTTCCCAATAGAATTCGAAGATCACTTCGGTAATTCTCATAGTTAAAGTAAAGTCCATACGAGTAGTGTCCTGCACAGGTACTATGAATCGGAAAAATAATAAAAAATGCGATCAAAAAGTTACAATTTATTTCTCATTCACAATGTTCATTGAAAATTGTTCAATATAAAATTTAAAGAAAAAGAAGAATGTGGTGCTCCCCTTATAATGAATCATTTCACTATGATCGAATCATTACTAATATGTTATTACCGCGTTATGTATAGATAGCAATTTTCTGAAAGTAAAATATTGTAGTATAATGATATGTCACTAGTTGTCGGGTCGGGTAAGCTCTTTTCCTGGGGGGTGGGGGCTCAACCGTATATTTTTATCTATACTCGGCGCCCGAACCCATCCGGTAGATTCGTACTCGGAACAGCCCATGTCATAAAAATCACGACGATTTTCGTCACATGAGCATGCTCCCGGTCCGATTTGAGTACTCGACTCGGTTGCAGCACACAACATACGAGATAAATTGATTTCCTCTTTGAGTCAAATGAATAAACAGAACATGCTGAAATCTCTTTGAACTCAATAATGATCATTATACACAACTCGACGTCCTTTGGCACAAATTTTTTTATTGGGATAAACCCATGCAAAGTGCACCATATTTTTGAATAAGTCTTTTCACTTTTAACCATCTACTGAAGCCGAACGCAATTGAAAATAGCCTGCGTGCGCGAATAAAAAGCTTTGATATCTAAAGTTTCGAGGGTAGGCTTATTCTTTAGTGAGAAAATTGGCTGTTACGTACAACTGAACTAGTCAGTTCTTCAAACTTTCGATATGAAAATGTTTTTCGTGTCACATTATTTTTGATAACGTGCTATCTCATTAGATAGTCAAAATCGAGAAAAGCCCTCTCTCACAAGAAAATGGCACAAAGCTCATAGGACTGCTCTGCTTTCAAAAACTGTCATGACTTCCATAAATTTGCTCGTTAATCAAAATTAAACAGTTAGATAAAGAGTTATTTACGTTTACTATTCTCAATGATGGTTTGTTTTCGACAAATTTGTTTCTGTCGATCAGATCCCTCGCAGTAATTAACGTAGTTGATAGACTATAGAACACTACATGTGGACGATAGATACAATCATTTTAAGCGATTACTATGATTTGTTTATTATATTCGTCGGATTGAAGATCTTCAATTTTTCTATCATGAAACGTTTTTAGTGATTTCTATCGTTTATACAGGTATAAATTTCGATAGAAACTAGAAAAAAAAACATTAAACGTGGGACTGAGCGGCCCAACAAAAAAACTTTAGCTCATCGGCTCGAAAGAGGAGTCTTGTTGGGCCAAGCCGGCTGCCAGTTTCGAGGTCTGGTTCTTGTTATTCATTTATTCTATTGTTAGTTCTCTTGAATGATCCTTCTTCAACCTGTTTTCTTGGCTGGTGTTTTTCCTGATAAACTGAACTCATGTTAACGAACTACCACAAAACTTACACTAATAAAACACATGAATTACAAAGTAATACTAATGGTACTTGCGTTAATTTTCCAACCTAAAATTTAAAAAGACGAGTATTTCAACCCAATTGAAAAGAATGAATAGAAAACGAACTT